AACAAAACAAACTTTTCCACAACTAGTGTTGCAAAATTGAAGTGGATCCTTTTTGGAAAACAGAACACCTTCAGATGTCTTGAAAAACAAGTCATTTTTTTTGAACAGTCTCTGACTTTTCCATTCTTTATTTTTAAACTGCTTCTCGTTTCTAGGCATCAAAAAGTTTATTTCTAGTACCCCACGAAATGCTTATTGTCTATTGCTCTACCTTTTTTTGAAGCCAGAAGCCTCTTCTCACGGCCATCTATAAAAATATGAGTAGCGACTAGAAAAACGTGGAGAATTTTAAATCGAGACGTCTTCGGTCTCTCCCAAAAATTCCTTAGTCATTGTCTATGGATATTCATTAAGGATCAAAAAAAGAAGGGCCAGAATATTTTTTTCATTTCCGGTGGCGAGTAAAATTTTGGGGGCCAAGCTGCACGTATTCTGTGTAAAATACTAAGAAACTGCTAGGGCTCAGACCGGATTTCATTTGAATTATCAAAGTATTGGGAATCCCAATGTCACCTAGAACTCTAGAATATGTCATTTATTTGTTTGGGCGGCCTGAAAATCTTGGTTTAATTAAATAGCACCTTTCTAGTTTTTTTTTTGCGTATTTGAAAAATTAGAACTCAACTTCAGCGGCCCGGCAAAGCCCGGTGGGCCCGAGTTTTCCTCAAAAAGAATTTCTTTTTTGAAATTTCGGAATTTTTTCAAAAATATTTATAGCCTAGAAAATTCTGAAAAGCCCGACTCGGTTTGGCCCTTTGCAAGTGAGCTTTTTAGAAACCTCAGGATGTTCACTGATGAGCATACGTGAATCAAAAAAGCCTCATTTTCCTGCACTTCTATTTCATTTTCTATTCCTATACTTCTTCAATTTCAATTAACCGTAGCTTCCTGACTTCATGCTTTCTTCTTTTCCCCTTTTCCTAAACCACTTCCTCATTTTTCTTTTTCTTCTCATTTTTCGTGGTTCGTTTTTTAAAAAGATGTTCGTGTTTAGATAAAGATTATTGATCAATGGTAATTTATTTTGGAAATTTATGTATGTGCTTTCATTATTTTCCCCCAAATTCTTGTTTTTAGATTACGTATTTCTTCTGCTAAAATTCGTAAAAAAAATTTCCAAACCAAAATTTTCTCAACTCCATCATAATTTCTCTTCCTATTCTCTTCCTGCTTCTAATTTCGTTATTTTCTCAAGATCCCCGATTCTATTTACTTCTTCTTCTTCTTACCCTATTTTCTCATTTTCCCTAACATGTTCCTCCTGTCTGGAAAAAAACAAAGTTGAAAATCGAGCCTTCTTGAGATTCTTTTTCTAATTTTTCTTGGATGCAGTCCAACGATGTTTCCTTTTCAAAATTTGCTTCCTGGACTGAAGACTTTGATTGGATTACATAGAAAAGATAGTGATCAAAGTACCCTAAAGGTGCTTCAGATGATTTTATTTTATCACATCATCATCAATTCCTTATTTATCCAGACTTTCTGGAGACTTCCCGGATTGTACCAATTTCTATAAAAGATATCAAAAATGTGTCAATTGACCAGAAGATTGTTGCCGCTAGATGTTCCCAAAAAAGAGGTTTTCGTAGGGGACTCCGCTAGGGTCCGTGGCATTCTTTTAGATTTTTCATGTTTTGAAGTCCTATAGATCTTTTACAATACCTTAAAGAGAACTTTTGGTTTTATGATCATTGCAAGAAACGTTCAGCGGTTCCTGTCTGAACAGAATACGATTCCAAGTACACTACGATTTTCGCGTACTAACAAACAACGTAATACTCATTAGACAAATCAGACGTTTTTCGCTGGAAAACGGTCTCTGGAATTCCGGAATTTTTGTTTTCAGAATTCTTCATAACACAATTTTTCTGGAAGCATGTCATTTCCTTTTTAGAGAACTTTTCTATTTTTGACGGAGCGCTCGTTCATTTTTAGGTTCCATTCGGTTCGTTTCCCTAATTCCGAACCTTCATAACACCCGTCATACCCTTTCAAAAACATCCAAACACATCCAGAAGATTGGATCCTTCGGATTTTATGGCTGAAAGTATTCATAACCCCCCCCCCCCCGCACACACACACTACCATAACCTGTTTTACGATGTACTTCAAGTTTCGGTTCATAAGTTTATTGTGAAAGCTTTTGGGGGGAGCAGCCAAAGTGGTATCCGGGTTTTATAGGCCGTAGATTTTTAGGCGGGACAGGAAAAACACCTGGCACTCGCTCTCGATGTGGAAGGAAACGACGATGCATTTTGGAATTTTCGCTCTGTTTTTTCAGTTTTCTGAGTTTTGTGAGATTTCGAAATGTGTTGGCTAGATCAAGTTACTGTAGACCGGATAATCTTTAGCCGATTACATTAAACTACGAACACTTTTTTACAAGTAGCTTTTTTACGCATTTCTTGTGTTTACGGTTTTTTTATTCGTCTTGTTCTCTCAAGGATAAACACACATAGACAAACCGAAAGAGAAGAGGCACATGGGGATCGGGAAAAGAAAAGAGAAAATGTGCAAAAAGAACAGAGATCCTTTTTGCTTTATCTTGCTCTACTACAGTTTACAGGGTGGTTACCCGGACTAAAGTTAGCATGAAATTTGAGTAAAGCGTTGTACTAGGCTCAAATTTGGAGTGCAATAAATCAAATAATTTATCTGTAAACTGACAAAATTTCAAATTATCTGAGCAATTTTGAGCTGAGTTATCGCTTCGCTTGTCAAAGTTACTTCTTCTCGTGAAAATCACAAGGAAAATGAAGCCGTTCATCTTTGAACTGTCATAACTATACCTAGATTTGAGAAATTGTTTTGAAAATTTCAGTAGCCTTGAATCATAGATAAAATTATATTTCCACCAATTTTCATGCTTCCAAGTTATCTATGTCTAAAGATATACCCATTTTTTTAAGTCTGTACAATTTTCAGATTGGAATTTTCCATTTTTGAACTTCCGGAATTTGTTACATCAAACTAATATGACTAAGTTGTCTGATTTTTTTTCCAACATTTTACTACAACTTTTTCACATGTCTGCAATTTTTTACTACGAAAGCCAAATTTCCCGATTCATAAGCTCCGCCCATTTTACCATGTACCGACCTGCATACGCAAATTGTACAGCAGATCTTCTAGATTTTAATTCAAGATAAGTAAGTAAAAGTGTATTTTAAGAAGTCCGAATCTTGAAATTTTCTATCCTGAAAGTCACGTCGTCTTTTATTATGTTACACTTTCTATTTTTCTACATCATCATAGTTTATTTTTCTTCTGCATTGTTCTATTTTGCACACATGTAAAGAATCTCTTCTAAACAAGGAACTCAGGAACCTAAAGCTTCTACTACTAAACTCAATTAGGTCATCTTTGATTCGATAGAATGCTCAATCTGAATTCAAAACACAACAAGTGTTTTTCTGAAATTACTTGTCTCCTAAACAGTGAAAAATTTCCAAATTTTGAAACTTTTAAAAAGGAAAAGTCAAGTCTCAAAGTCTAGCCTTGACCACGCTTACTTCCTGATTCAATTATTCTATTTGAAGGAGGCCTACTTCTTGTACCTCTTTTTACCGAGAGGGACCAAATTGGTCCAATTAGTTAGTGCAAAGACTGAACTGAACTAGATCCCGTTGTCTTTCATTATTCACGTTTGTGTAGTTTTTTTCGGTCGTTGCTGAAACTGACTTTGTTGTTTTGGCATCGTTTGAGATGACGATTGTCCAGGAGACCATCCGGGTCCATAAAATGGGATACGAGGCAACTACTTGCAGTTTCTCTTTTGTGTGTGTTAGTCAGCGTATTTTTTTTAGTTTGGGTTCAGATTTGGGTTGAGTCTTCTTGTAAATAGGGTCATCGAATTTTTTTAACAATGAGCCCATACCAAAAACTCGGATGTTTTATTTACCAGAGATCCGGTAATTTATACTCTTCGACACCAAATTTCAATTTTACAAACTCTTTCGAAATCTGAAAAAAATACATTCATTTCAAATTGTCCAGTCTCACAGATTCCGGAACAAGAAATACCGTGAGACCTGTGATAGAAGAGCTCCTGTTCTTTTAATTTTGAGCCAATTGATCTCGGTTTCTGTCAGAGATATCAAAACTTTGTCAACAGATAAGTTCTTTATCATAATGTCGGAAGTATTTTTATCAGTTGACAACTTTTTGATAACTCGCATAAAAATTGAGATACCGTATTTCCTCTAATTGAAGCCCATGGGCTTCTATTTTTCAACCTCCTTCTCAGAAAATTCTAAAAACTGAAATTCCCCGAAATTTGAAAAAAAGAAAGAAAATGTCGGCAATGACCAAATAGACGAACTTTAATGTATAAGCTACACTAACTGAACTGCACGAACTTCTGTTAGAGGGTGAGCTTCTATGTTTTCAAGCACGTCTGAGGGTGTGCTTCTATTAGAGGTGCGCTTCTATTAGAGGAAATACGGTAATTCAGCTCAAACTTTACTCATTGTTGTCAAACTATCGTTGTTTCACAGACACCGGAACAAACCCGCACCAGAAAAAAACTACGAGAACTTAGTCCAAGGTATTTGTTAGCAGGAACAAAAAAGTGTAAAGTTTGTTTTTGTCAATAGTATTATTTGCATTCCGAGAGAAAGAGCACTCTATCCTCTAATCGGAACAACCATTATTTCCCGAAAAAAGATCTTTATTTCGCCTACTCTTCCCTGAGTATTCTAGAGAATCAGATTTTAATGATGATGGCTACGTCAGAAATTAGCCTAATCCTGGCCTATCTTAGCCTATCCCTTTTCACTACCGTGTTTTTATTTATTTTTTTCTTCAAAAGACGAAACTTTTGAGGTTTCTGAATATCCCCGGAAGTCCTTGTTCTGATTCTTCTGACTCTTGAACGCAAACAACAATAAATTGTAGTAGATTTACCCTTTGTCTCATGTTATCCTATTAATTTTTTCATTTCAAAGATTTCTTTCTCTAGATTTTTTCCCACTTTTTCAAATTCAATTTTTTAGGGTGGCATGTCATTAGAAGATGAGTTCGAAAAATGTCAAGAGATCGAGTTCACACATGCACAATTCCTATTTCGATCCTACCTGTTTCCGGTCGTCTATCTTTTTGGAATTCTATCGAACACTATCAATATTTGCGTCTTTTCACAGAAATCGGTGAGTTTTTTTAAAGCTACCGTATTCCCTCTAATAGAAGCCCAGTCAAACCGTCAACATTTAGCTTGATTATCTCGGTTCCTGTGAAAGATATACAAATTTTATCAACTGATAAAATTTTGGCGATATTATGGTAAACATTTTATCTGTTGACAAATTTTCAATATCTTTCACAAGAATCGAAATAATTGAGCTTAAAGTTGATGGTTTGGGTGTCTTCTAGAGGCATATTACCGTAATCCCTAACTTTCAACTTCGAGCCAATTCATTTTGGCTCCTATGAAAGAAATCAAAAAGTGGTCAACTAACAAAATGTTCTTGATAATATAATAAAAATTTTGTTAGCTGATCACTTTTTGATATCTTTCACAAAAAAAACGAGATATATGGGCTCAAATTTCGGGTCCATTCTATCAGAGTGTTTATGATATTTCTCCAAGTAATTTTCAGATGCGAAACCACACAGTAAACTGGTTTTTCCTTGCCCTTTCCTGCTCTGATTTGCTCACTCTTGTCTCCTCTTTCTTTGTTTTCTCGGTTCCAGTCTATGCTGAAAGTTCAAGAGATCCCGAATACATTGACTGGTCCGTCCAACTGATTGTATGGTTCTATCCGCTTGCACAAACTGGATTGACCATGTCTGTCTATGTGACTATTCTGGTGTCAGTTCATCGATATTTAGGAGTATGTCATCCGTTTTTGGTGAGTATTTTGAAGAGAAAAAGCAGCAAAAAATGCCTGAATTTTCTAGATTCGTCGAATCTCGAATTCAAGTGCAGTGAAGGCAGTTATCTTTGGAGCTGTGGTTTTTGCGTTCGTTTTCAACACAAGCCGTTGGTTTGAGCTGCATGCTCAACCATGTTTTTATGATGCAACTGGACAAACGTGAGATTTGCTTTACAATGATTTTAAAAATATTCGCGATTCTAGAAACTCTTCTGTTGTCTACCCCACTGCTCTTATGATGAACAACTATTATACTCTTATTTTCCGAAACGCAGCCTATACAATTGTGATGTTCTTCTTGCCATTTGCAGTTTTGACTTATGTGAATCTCAGAATCATCGCAACACTCCAACAGTCTTATAAGTGAGTTTTCTATTTATCGTTTTTCTTCTAATAGAGACCACTGAAGCCGTCAACTTTGAGCTCAATTACCTCGACTCCTGTGAAAGATATAAGAGATTTTCCAATTGATGAATTTTTCACCATAATGTCACCAAAAATTTTATCAGTTGACTACTTCTCGATATCTTTCACAGGGATCGAGATAATTGAGCTCGAAGTTTAGATGGACTTCTATCAGAGGAATTACGGTAAATTCACTTCTGAAACCACAATTTCGATTTATTCAGAATGCGAAAAGCCATGACAACCTCAAGAACAAAACGAAGTGATTCTACAGTACCTACTGATACGATTATCACAAAAATCGACGGATATTCGGCAGTAGTTCCAGTGGAAAACGGAAACAGTCCTGTCTCCGGAATAATGATGGGTGGATCGAATGGAGGAAGTGTGAAATATGAGAAGAAAGAAAACGGAGTAACAGTTATGTTGGTGGCAATCACAACAGAATTCTTGTTATTCAATTTGATTGCCTTTGCTAACAATATCATAGAACTGTCCAACATTCGCTTCTTCCAAGATATTGAAACTCTTCTAGTTGAGGTAATTTTCGTTATTGAAACTTCATCTGTAATTTTTGAAACTTCCAGCTATCAACGTTTCTTGTGAACGTCAATGGAGCGTCTACAATCATCATCTATTTGATATTCGGAAGCAAGTACCGTAACGTCTTCATTCGACTGATTCGACATCACTTTGGAGTCAACTTCTGTGGAGATAAACCGAAACGTCCGATGGGTTTCTCCCAAGCGCACTTTGAGACAACTCAACTTTTAGACAACTCGAAATTTGACTTGAATCGAAGCAAGGTGAGATATTCTTAGATATGGATGAAATATTCAAAAAACATCCCAAATCCCCCAGAAAAGTATTTGAGTTCCCGCGCAGAGAGAAACCTAGGCCTAGGCCGGCAGGGCGCCTGTTTAAATATCAATTTATCCGGATTTTTCTGGAGTTATCTCCGACTTCTATAAAAATGTAAAAAGCCGCTGTCGGCTACTTAAAAAAGGGGTTCCTAATTCCGGATTTTCTCGCAATAATATTATTTAGGAAAATTTTTATGCTTTAAAAAATTCATTTTGATTTCTCCCGATTATAAAAAAATCCTTTTCAGCAAGCCAGTATCATTCGTCGTTCCGACATCACTATCTCAATCAAATCTTCTTCCTCCAAAAAACCAACTCCATGAAACTAAACCAATAATTTTTTTTTTCCTATTGACACACTTCTCTACAAAACGGTTTCCTATGTCGGGTTTCGATTTTTTAAGGCCACATTGCTAACGAATATTGTTCATAGAAGGGTAAAAAATGAAATAAACATGAAGGTAACAATTAAAGTTTCTATTAAAAACATACAAATACAAACTATAATACTATTCAATTTAAAATTGCCTTTTCCATTTTTTCAACCTGCTGACGACTCCAGCGTCTGAAAAAAATTAGAAAATGTGACCGACTCAAGCTTGAGCTCAAGCAGATGTTATATAGACAAACCTATTCATAAAGTCAACAACTCCCATGCTCGCGTCTTTGAAACTGCGCCACGATGTCTGTCGTTGCTCGAAAGTCCTAAAACCATAGAATAGCATTACAATTAAATATGAGATATAAACCACTTCTTTCCGGCTTCCAGCTCATCTAACGGAGAGAGATTGTCATTTTTCGAGAATTTTTCACACAGAAACGCGTATCTGAAAAACAAAGCGCGTTATCTCTGGAATACTAAAAGAACAACTTACGATCCTGGAGTATTTGTGGCGAGAAGAAGTTCTTTGCGATCTTTTGACCATTCAATATCAAACTGATACGTTGCCATTAGCGACGAGAGGATTTTCTCTTGATGCTTGAATTCTTCTTCCCCAATCGGACGTAAGTCTCGTCTGACAATAGTGATTACATCCGGACGACAACCTTTGGAATCTTCACCGGCTAAATGACAACATCCCATATCCATGAGTTGAAACGGTAGGCGATTCTGAATAGGTGCTTCGAGATACTGTATGATTCGTTTGAACTCGATGCTTTCGTTTTTGAATCCATTTCTGAATTGAATTGAAAATTGGTACTTCAGAATCTATAGTTAAATACTAACCTCCTGTTGATATACGTGTGAGCTAACTTCAAAAAGACTTCTCCTGTGATATAGCTATCGAATCCAGCGTTGTGATAATAGTTCTCCGAATCGTCGTCGAGTGGGTTCATCCAAGGTCCAATATAACCGCGAAGCTCTGGTGGCACAGTCTTATTCGATTTTTCCGTTCCAAAATAGTCTCCCAGCCTTTCGAGCGAATCTCCAACTCCAGGAAGATCGATGCGTATGACTTGAGCAAGAATTTTTGTATCTATGACTTTTGGGAAAAGGCTGTTAAACTCTCTTTTGAAATTTCGATATTTCAAAGGAAGAGAGGAGAAGAAATAATGATACATGTACATTGCATCAAGAAGACTGTTGTGGCCAACTATAACTTTTCTCATCATCATTGCGGCTTCCAAAATTGCAGAAATTCCTTCGAAAGACTCTGTGCATCGCATTCTAGTCTGTTTCTTGTTCTCGGTTTCCGTCATCGTTTCAGGGAGCATCGTAACATCCAATGATTTATCTTTTTCGTTCAAACTGAACAGGAGGTGTGGGAAACTATTCGTGATATCGTGAATGGCGATGTAGGTTTCCACACTACATAATCCAGCAGGCATCTTTAGTGATACCGGCTTATCTGAATTGATTATCAGTCGACAGTCCTGACTCGGTTCTTCTGTTGTGTGGGTGATCATTTCTGCTTTCACACGAAAACATTTCTCATGTAGCATCACTTTCAGCTGTTCTACTTTCATTTGTTTGTCCTTGCTAATATAGCTGTAAAAACAACAAACACGTTAATTCATAGTTCAGAGTATAGATATACCTCAATGCAGTTCCTTTTGATAAAGCTTCTTCGAACTTTTTGATCTCCGCTCGTGTACAAAACTCAACGCCATCAGTAATAACTTGATTCAAATCGAAATTATTCTCCAACAAAAAACGCAGGGAGTTTACCGAAATGCTTGTATCAGAGGCGCCGAATCTTTGACAAAGTGGAATTGAGTAGCTGTCCGCTTTGTATCTGAAATTCATCTTTGAAAACTACTGCACAAAATTCCCAAATTACCCACCCTTTATTAGATTTTTGTTTGAAAAAGCTCAATCCAAGTTGACATGGACGGTATTTGATTACATTGGCTCGGAGAATTTCGTATCGTTTCTCTGCAGTGTCGTGAAGGGAGATTGCAGTTGTGTCGAGTCCGAGAAATTCAAAGTCGATTGAAACGAAATCAGACTGAAGAAGTGTCTTTCGCAGTTGAGGTGCTAATTCCAAGAAGTTCGAGTCCTTGATGATGACCATCCTGGAACAAAGGGTGATTAATTTAAGATGTGTGAAAAGGAAACAGAAAAGACTCGTCTCAGAAAAGTGAATATTTCGCTGTTGTTTCCAATATTAATTTGTGACAATTTTAGCTTTTAGGAGTGAAGAAGGAATTTCGAAAAATTCCGAGTGACATTTTCAGAATTCCGGAATCTTGGAACTTTTCAAAATTCTAATTTCAAAGTAGAAATCTCTTCCATCACAAAAGTGCCAAAAACTGGTGAAAAATTGACGAACTGATTTCGAAAACGGAAAGAAATATTACAAGTGCCGTAAAACCTTTATTAGAAAAGCCCCTTTAATAGAAGGGCCCTCCGAGAGGGGCTTGGAAAAGTAAAAGGGTTTATTAGAAAGGCCCCGTAATAGAGGGTCCTCCCTCAAAATGTGTTTTTGAAATATTTCAGTACGTTTCCGGTGAAAATTTTCATAATTTTACAGAAAATTATTGAAACACTTTTTTTCACAAACTTGCTCAATTTTGGTGAAAGTGATTTTCGTTAATCTTGAACGAGAATTCGTCGAATTTTTCGATGAGAAATTCCGAGGAAAATAGCTGGAAAGATAGAAGGGTCCCTCTATGGAAGGGCCCCTTTATTAGAAGAGCTCCCCGAGATGGGCTTGAAAGAATAGAGGGGCCGGCCCTTCTAAAACAGGTTTTACGGTGATTTTGCTCGAGACCGCAAGCAAACTTTTCGCATGCGTCTTGTAGTCCAAAATCTCTAATTCCGATTCGAATTTTATTCCGAAAAGTATTTCGGAAATATTCCGGTCGGAAGAAATTGGTATCATTTCCGCTCTCCGTTCCGAACAGGCCGGAGGTGAAGAATCCTCAATTCTACAGTGAGTGTTTCTGCTTTGTTTCTAACGTTCACTGTATAGGTTGGGTTGTTCAACTTGCTCATTTCTTTTGCTTTCCATGCCCTGATATTCGTTCACCAAAAACCGGAACGACACATAAAATGACTCATTTGCTCCCAAAGTACCCTTTTAGGAACCCATCGACGATGTACCATCTTGGCAACACTATTCTCTTCGCGAACATCGTTGTAGCCAGGGTTCCTTTTATACAAATCTATCTCTCTTCGCCCTTTCTTTTTCATTTTTCATATCTGCATAATATTTATACACATAATGTGAATGGGCGTCTACGTGTGTGCTGAGATGAATGGGAGAGGAAGAACAGCGGCCGTCAGCAGTATGAAGCAGCAGGAGAAGAAGAAATAGGCGAAAATAAGAAGAGGCGCCGTGTCTCTCTCATTGCGGCCTCCTTTTTTCTTCATTTCTTTTCTCTTTTCTTCACCCCCTTTCTTCTCCGGGTTTTCAGACGCATCTAAATTGGTTTGTTGCTGTTTGTTGTGCCTGAATTCTTCTCTCTGCACCGGTTATTCACAACACACATTACTTCCTGCAACTCGATGGAGAGTCTTATTGAACTATTTCAAAGTAAGCATTTTAAAGTTCTGTTGGAAGGAAACCAACGATAAGGATGGTTAGTTAATAGCTGCGTCACATGTATTGATTCGTTCAACAGTGCGTTAAACGTCCATCATAATATTATGTCGATTTGGAAAAAAGGGGAAATTGAGAAGTTGGAGACAATTTGAACAGCTAGAACTAGAGAATGAAAAGCTTCGTTCTTCTCTTTTCTTCTAGAAAAAAAAACATCAATAAAATTGCAGCAATCGCATCGTATGCTGATATCGGTACAGATTCTCCAGATGAGAAACCGTTATTACCCATGGAGGCCGTTTTCCTGGCTATTCTACTGATCATTTTTTATTACAAGCTTTTTATTGTAAGTTAAAGTGACTGTTTTAAAATTAAAGACACTCAACTCGAGTTTTCAGGCGATTGGCTGCTCAATATTTGATTGGATTTACTCATCGGAGCTACAAAATCAGTTCTCAAAAACATTGGGTCCGGATGATGACGAGTATCAACAAGAGTTCGTGCGACATGTAAAAAAATCGAATTGCTTTCGAAAATACACATAAATTAGCTCCAGTTCTAATTTTTTCTACTTTTCTTTCAAAACTTCAAACGTATCATTTTTTGAAAAACTGTGAAAATATTATGGGTCGAATAAACTTATTATAAATTTGTTAAAAAATATATTTGGGCAGTGAAACACAAAAAAAACGAAAAGAAAAGCGATGAATTCTGAAAAAAAATCAAGTTTTCAACGAGGTTGGCAACGGTTACTGTATCAAAGGGACACAGCTCTGTAGAATAACAGGGTCGCATCACGAAGTACAGTAACAAAAGTGTTTAGGAAAAAAAATAAGCAATTTATGGGTTGAATTGTTGCAAATTTACTTGTTATAAATTTGTGAAAAAATATATTTAAGCAACTATAGTTTATAAACACATGCAAAAACAGAAAGAATTCTGAAAATAATCAAGTTTCTCCTCACTCTTGGAAACAAATACTGTATCAAAGGGACATAGCTCTAAAGAATAATTGGGCTTCACCACGAGGTACAGTAACAGACATTATTTGTAAAACAGATTTTTTTTCAGCGATATTTCTTTTTTTTTGTTCTTCTGTTTTCTGTTCTTCAGTGTACTTTCCATGTTTTGTCCAATTTTTTCGAATAATATCTCAAAATTAATAGCCACAATAATCACAATCCCGTCAACTTTCAGAGAATTTTCAGACATTTTCGAATACAAAATTGATTTTTAATAGGAATTGTCTTCTGATTACTTCAGCATAGTTTCTTACAGATCGTGTTCACAAACAAGGTCTAAAATGCGCTCCACTGCACGTTTTCTTTCAATTGCAATTGCTATTCCTTGCCTTGTGTGTCATGTGAAACATCTGATGTAAATTCTGAACTTCATTCCATTAATACTATCTTTATCGTCAAATTTATATCTTTATAAAGAGTTCCATCATAGCCATGAGCCCCTTTAATTCTTCCATTTGTATTACGAAATATTCAAAAGTTGTTTGTCTGTGACTCATCATCGTTTTATTCCTTTTTGATTTCGTCACCCGGTTCTCGTTCTATTTAAACCTTCTTCACTTCTCAGCCGTTTTCTTTTCTCTTTTACTTTTACACTCAATTTTCAAATTTCCAGCAAGAGAAATGTCTATTAGCTGGGGAGCACAGTATCCAAAGTTAAAAACCAATCTGCGATTGGGAATCAATCGATTGCAGCTTCTCGGAAAAAAGAAGACAGAAATGGCGATGAAAGCGAGAACAGAGATTGCTGATTATATTGCTGGTGAGTCATTTTTTTCTAGCAAAATTAGTTGTACCTTTTGAAAAATCTGCAGCTAACAAACCGGATCGTGCTCGAATCCGCGTCGAGCACATTATTCGAGAAGACTATGTCGTCGAAGCTTTCGAAATACTTGAAATGTACTGTGATCTACTTCTCGCTCGTTTTGGCCTCATCGAACAAATGAAAACACTAGACGATGGAATTGCGGAAGCAGTCATCAGCATCATGTGGGCAGCACCTCGTCTTGCTACGGATATCGCTGAATTCAAAACTATTAGCGATCAACTGACGATAAAATACGGAAAACCATTCGCCGAGGCCGCTCGTGCCAACCAACTCGAATTCCCAGCAAGAGTTAACCCAAAAATCATATCGAAACTCGGCGCAGCTGCTCCACCCAAGCTTCTCGTGGAGAGATACATGATTGAGATCGCTGCCGCTGCTGGAGTTCCGTTTGTTCCTGATCCGGATGTGATGAGAGAAGATGAGGTGCATCAGGCTGAGCAGATACTGATTGATTTTAAGAATGCTGGAGGAAATCCAGGTGGACCTCCACCACCTCCAAGTAATGTGAGTGTTCAACAATAAAACAGAGCTCGAATTGTTTTTTTCAGCCATATGGAGGATCAGGAAACGACAATGGTGGCTCCGGAGGAGGTAGCGGCTATGGCTGGAATCTCGAGAGCCCTCCACCGGCAATTGGAGGCGGAGTTTTACCTGGAGCACAGACCGGAGGAGGCGTTCAATCAAATTCCAACTTTGTTATTCCGCCGCCACCGAATCGTCACCCAAATGAGCTGCCACAAGGTATTCATTTAGTTTTAGTTTTGTGCATGATATCAATAGTAGTGTGAAACGGAGCAGTCCGTGTCGGTAGCATTGGGACATTCTCTGACGCAGCTTTTTATAGACGACGAGAACATTTATGACCATATACCCGACGTGTCTGGTATGTAAGTGTGTCCAATGTTCATTATGTTTGGTATATTCATTTGGTTTTATGTCATTGTCTTGGTTTCGTTTCAATTGTCCTCTTTCCCATTCTTTTGACTAGGGTAAATTTGATTCCATCTGTAGCTATCCATATATGTTTCCAAATTTTTCTCTTTATCAGTGTTTGTGGAGCTTCGGTTCTGTATGCTTATCTTGTGCTTCAGTATTGTGTCTATTTATGTTTATCCACTATTTTTTAAATACTGTTTTTTTCCAGGTGGAAACATTTACAAGGTTCCGAGCCGTGATCATTACGATTATCCTCCAGATACATTCAATTCAGAGCCACCAAAGTAGGAATCCACCCCCTCACTTTTATTCTCATCATTTCACAGTTTCAGAAGCAACCCAACCGTTGGCGTAATCAATCTCCCAAAGATAGGACCGAATGGAATGCCCATCTATCCAGGACAGCAACCACCAAAAGGACCTGGCGGTGGAGGTGGCGGACAAGCGTATCCGGCTCTTTCGCAACGTGTGAGTCTTGTTTTGTGAAAAAATCACGTAAACAAATAAATCCTAACGGGGGGATACTGTAATTGGATGTATAATTGGGTGGAACCAATTTAAAAAATAATGATACCTTTGGGTTTGAAAAATAGGCTCCGCCTATTTTCGAGCTCTTTAAAAAGGGTGCGAAGCAGGAAGAAGAAGCAAAAACGTAGTAAATCTTTTCGAAACAGCGAAATGAAGTTGGTGGGAAGATCAGAGTTCTTCTACCCTTTCTCTTCCTCGTTTTTGTCTTCTTGCTTCGCTGTTATCCTTTTTCTCACTCCAATTTCGTTGTTCCACTATAATCTGATTGCGCTTTTTTCTTTTTCAGAGAAATACCAATTCTCTGGGGAGTTGTGAGTGAGGAGGATAGAGAACATTCTAGCGTAGAAAAACATATTCCAGTTTCACTTTTGTATTAAGTTGTGAGACTAGGTTCTGGGTAATTTCATCTCGCATATTGTGCTGAGCAATTTGGGTTTATTTCTAGATCGTAGATTAGTAATCAAGAATTATGAGATCACCCACATTGACATCATTTCCGGGACGTCTTCTGAGTAATCCAGAAAACTCTGACGATAACTTCATCAGGACCACCACAAGTCCATTATTCTTTGTTATGTGTTTCTTCTCCTTCTTTTTCTTCATCCCCTCATTCATCCGAATTTTATCCGTTCGAGCGGAACGCTACACATCCCATCTTCTGCAAACTTCCTTGTCTAGTTGGCTTTTCCAGTTTTTATTCGGTGTGTGCCTCCTCCTGTCTTTTCCATCCATCTGAAAATGGCTGGAAGAGTGCTCCTTATGTGCCTTCTCTGAGGAGCCAAACTCTCGTTTTTTTTTTATTTCCCAAACTTCCATAATTCCCCGCGGAGAATCGTTCACTCTCACATGTGCTTTTCTTCTTCTGGATATGGAATTTTTCATGCCTTTTGAAGGGATGAAAAATCGGGTCGTTGACGTCTCCTTTTTTTCAATCTAGGTTTGTTGAAAAATGTCAACAAGCATATGGAGTTATACTTTCTGAAGTTCCAGTGAACTTGTCTGGAAATTTTGGGGTTCTCCAGCTTCGCTAACTTTTTGATGAGTCCGATCAGTTAAAATACGGAATATATTGTCGTATTTAGGTATACAGTACCGTTCAATTAGATATAAAAAACGTATTTTCAGTTGATATCCGGTCATGTTGACCATTTTCAGAAGCCTGGAGCTTGCCTCTCAAATTTCCGATCACTTTGAAAATTTTGGAGGGTGATCGGGAACCGAGAGACTTTCAAAGTGGTCGGGAACTTGACAGCCGAGCTCCAGACTTTTAAAAATGGTCAAATCGACCGAAAATCAATAGAAAAATACATTATGGACCAGTACTGTAATTCAAGTAATAGGGTAATAGATTTTCCAGTTTTGCCTTTCAAATTGATTTCGAAATCAAGAGATGACCTTTCCCTCTTAGTCATCCTTCATTCCCATATTCCCATGGCACCATTGCTCAGCCCTACCGAAAAAAAAGGTCTAGACTTCCTCGCAACTCATTGTTAAACCCAAAAAATATTTTTCCTTGTCTGAAATGTTTTTTTCCTGGCAAGAGGAGAGTCTCGGAACAGTGAGCAATTAGAATTCTACCTCCAACTGTCCTTCTGGAATATGAATTCTTATTTTTCAAAAACGAGAATTTTGTTTTTCCTTGTATGTTTTTGTACTTTACGGTTGGTAGTCCTACCGAAAACTCGCTGAGTGACGATGTTGTTTTTTCTAAGTATCTTTATCCGCCATTCTGCACGTTGTCGCCTTTTTTAGTAATTTTTTGTGCTGGTTTTTCTTTTTCTTCTATGCTACCAGTCGACGACGTCGCAATGCAACCAGCAGCCCATCTAATTCAATTGACACGTCGACTGGATAGGCTCTGGGCCCAGTGTGGAGCATCTACAAAAAAAGACGAAAATGGCAAAGGAGTGAGAGGAGGTTGTTCTTTTTCTTCCTCTTTTTTGTGTCATCATACAGAAGACTATATCAAATTTTTGTTCAGCCATACATATATCCTTCCTCTCTTCTTCTTCTTTTTTCTTAATTTTTTTCCTTCCATAGATATATTTATGTCATCATCATTCTTCCATGGACCGCGCTGGTACAAAAACAATTAGTAAAGGCGATAGAAATTTTATTAAAAATTGGAGCGCCCCTCCTCCTCACTTTTCTTTTCCCGTTGCCTTCAGATCCTCGTGCTGAGCCAGCAGCCATGTGCGGATCCCCCCCCCCCGTTGAAAAAAAAACATGATCATAAAAAGAGATTCCTTCCGTTTTCGTTCAAATTTTTCTCCTTCTTTTAGCTGCATTCAAATTTTTAACACCTCTTTCAGCAAAGTTCATCATTTCGAATTCTGGAACATTCTCAAATTTCGCTAGCTACTCATCATATTCTTTCAATTAGTTATAAAATTATGCTATGCCCACAATGTATTCTGCTCATTACATTTCGAATTCTCTCGTCATGTATTGTTTTGGAGACCATATAAGATGTCAAGCTAACAAGGGAACCTCCAGTATAGATTGAGGATAGTCTATCTAGAAAACTCTGAAAATTTTAAAATCCGCTCACCAGTTCCAGCCGAGTTATATATAGTTTAGGTACCAAAAATCGCGATTTCAGCGCAAAAATGCAATTTTTAGGACTGAAGCTGATATACCTTGGCTGGAACTGGCGAGAGGATTCTAAAATTTTTAGAAATTTTCCAGATAAACTAGTTTCAGTCTATCCTGTAATGTTCATCATAATCTGGCTTTAAACGGTGTTGAGTTTCCCTTGTGAACTCAAAAAAAAAAAAAGGGCTACTCCATTTTCCTACAACAATACACAAAGAAAAGCCACCTCCATCACACGGAGCTCATCCCCTGTAATCGAAAATTTCCCAGAAAAAGGGATCCCCTTTCCAATTAGTCCATCTCGAAGCAAAAAACGAAATAAGAAAATTCCGTTTTTTTTTTGAAATTCGACTTCTTCCTACGGTTCTATGATATCTATTCATAAAACCCCACCACAAGTACATTGCAGTTTATGCACGTACAGATAATAAATAGCCCTTCAGCTGCTTGCTTCCCTCTTCCCTATTTTTTCTTCGACTCTCATGGGACCAATTGCCTTCAGGAACTTTTATGTGTAGATGGCGGCCATCAGAGTGGTCCACTTCCACAGTTTTGAATTGCGACTTTAAATATTAAGATTTGTCATTTTTCTTTCATCTCTTTCAAAGTTTCTTTCCAGTCCAAAATTTAACCTAGTTTTAGAAAATATTCTGTGTTGAGAAGAAATGATGTTGATAGCATCTTGTTTGGCTTTCTCAGTTTGTGAGTTCAAACCACAACTTCTCTCCAAGAGATGTGACTGGAGAAGTGGGTCCACCGAAAAAAAAAGAGTTGGCTTCAAAAGTCGAATAAATGTTTTGAATTTTAGATTACCTGAATTGTAAAAATTTTAGAGAAAGAACCTAAATATATACAATTCATCTTCATCGTTGAGTCTTCAGAGCTTCTTCTCCACGTGACTTTCATTGTGGATGTCCGTGACCTAGTTGCCACAGAGTTGAGCTCTCGGCTCCAGAAAATTCCGCTACCATGGTCATGCAGACGAATAGAAAGGTTTCGGACTATATCAGGTTTTCTAATACGCTTTTTTCTGATAGAAGACATTCTGAAAATCAAATAATTCCACAATTTTATAAAACCCCGAAATTTTTTGTAGTCTGAAATCTATCCATTCGCCTTTATTATCACAGTGGCGAAATGTCCCGGAACCCTTTTACTATGAGGTTGAATGGCCTTATTGCCGCAGACATGCGTTTCCTGTTGGGGAAAACAACTTATATAATTGTTTTTTTTTTCCATCTGGAGAAGTTTCGAGAACTTTCGAGAGCTCTAAAAGGAATTCCCGATCACAAAAAGTTGACTGTTGATGCTCGGCCTTTATATCTCCAATTGAACCCCCATCCCTCACTCCATTCCATTCTTTTCCATCTTCCCTTTTTTCTCAGTTTTCCAATTACCGAAAGAGCGAACTCCTCTTCCTCCTATTGCTCTTCTCGTTTCCTCCCGCCCACTCACTTTGTGAGATTGTTTTGAAGTCGTCTCTTCCTATCTCATTTTTTGCTCAAAAACGCTCTATTCCTCTACCACGACTTTTCACCTTTCTAGCAGGAGACTCATTGAGAAATGTTGCTTTTGACTCGTACCAAGACACTTTCCGCATCGGAATCGTCTCGTAAGAAGTCGAAATCTGTGAAGAGATGTTCGTCGTGCAAGCGACCAAACAGTACTCGTCGCTGCAAGACACCAGATCCAAGCGCGGAGAAAGAGAAGACCCGCAATCGAAGTCAATCTTCGTCGAAAAAAGAGAAAAAGGTTTCTTCTAAAGTGGGATCTAGAACTATTAACAGATGATATTGATAGCAGTTAATCAATTTTTATCATTTTCAGAACTCGCTCGTCAACCCAAACCTTCCACCAAATCACCCGACTGCACCACCCCAATCGCTTCGCAAGCCAGAAGCTGACGATTTTTCGGGTATTTACGATGTGATGCAGTACAACTCATAATTAATTTGAAAAGTTCCAGATCTCTCATTCCCTGAACCACCAACTACATTTGTCAACCGATCAGGAGGAGGAGGAGGATCCGGTGGAAGTGGTGGAAATGGAAGCGGCGGCGGCGGCGGTGGTGGTGGAATGGACGATTTCGACGATTTAGCTCGCCGTTTTGAAGAACTCAAAAAGATTAAATAAACAGTGGACCTAATTGTATATCAAATTCCCTCTAACTACCACCCACCAATCTTTTTTGTTTCTTTTTGAACGTGTCTTTTTTTGTATCATAAATGAGACCCCCTTAACACACTCCACAACCGCTAATTTTCATCCATTCGGATCGCCATCCCCTTTTTTCTTCTTTTTGTGTATAGTCAGAACTTTTTTTTCCTTTCCGCTATCGATTTTGTATTTCAAGCATGTTTTCCTCTCAAAACCACTTGCAATTTCCTTTTTTCAATGTTTGGGATTAAATGAAGTTGCATGGCACTATATAAAATTTAGCATTTTTGTAACTTCCTTCTTTATCTTGTCGAATAATGCAATGCTTTCTCGCTTATATAATTGTTTAAAAAGGGCCTGAAAACTAAAATAATGTTTGATTAAAAACAGTAAATCAAAAATGGAAGAAGACGAGGAACAACCTGAAGGACAGGCAGAAATTGGGCCGGAAGAGCCTGAAAATCCTGTAGCAGATGAAAGAGCACGAGAAGTCAAGGCTTCTCTAGAGAAAAAAGAGCGAAAGAGAATGGAGAGTTTGATACTCGAAAGGGAGTATTCGAATAAAAGGAACAGCTATTTCAAGACATTAGTAAGATGATTAAAAACGGAACTTGAATTTGAACCAGCGATGTTCGGAATGGCCTTTTCGGAGTTTCCTATCTGCAAAGAGTGAAAAATTGACAAAAAAGATTACGAAAATGCGAAAAGTATCGAAAATTACTCCGCTCGACACACACTAGGGATCTTTCGCTCCTTCGCCATTGGCATATTGTAGTCCAAAATTCTCTAATTCCTAGAAAAAAAGTTCCGAAAAATTCCAAATTCCGTTCCGATCATCCCTGCTTCGAACCGATATCTCTATCAGTTCTGGTAAACGATTCTGAATTAGATCTGAGTTCATTCGTATCTAGACGTGGCACGATCTGATACAAATCTGAGCTGATCTAATTCCGAATGAACACCGAATGAACACCGAATGAACTACGAACGCATTAGATTTAATTTGGAACACGATGGCACATTTCTCGTATAAACTTTGGTATTAAATCTAGTCCAGATCTAATTGGGAGCAAACTTGATCTAATTCCAAATTTCGAGTTATTCGATCTAATTCCGAATGAACTCAGATTTAATTCAGAATCGCTTACCAGAGCAGTGGACAAAAAACAAGTTTAAAAGTGTCACTTCCAGAATGCCGACTTTCAAAACGACTTCTTCTGCCAAAAAGACATTCGGGAACACACCGGATGCATCAACGCCGTGCAATTTTCCAGTACAGAGAAGCTTTTGGCGACTGGTAATCTGAAGTTATTAGAATACTCTTCTCAAGGGAAAATTTCAGGTGGAGATGACTTGCATGCCAGAATTTGGAACGTCGATGAACTGATGCTCCGCAAACATCCTAGACCAATTTCGATTTCCGAAAAAGGTCACGAATCGAACATTTTTTCACTGGAGTTCGATTTAGAGTATGTTAATTGATCAGTTTTCATGTTACAACCGTTTAGTTAGCTTTTTTCAGCAGTAGATTCATTTATTCTGGAGAACGTTGGGGCTTATTGTTCAAACACGATATCACTACAAAACAGCACATTTACACGGCAAGAGGAAATGAGCATCATGGAGATGTGTACAGTATTCATCATCATGTAGGAGTTCTGTGAACAGTCAGAAGTATAAAGCAATTAGTTCAGCCCTTCGACATCCATCAGCTGGTAGTTGCACAAGCCAAGTCAATCTCATTTCTTGATGATCGAGACTACGAGAATCCTATACAATTCGTTAACGGCGACGAGCAAGGAGATTTTTACACTGCTGAATTCCATCCAGAGACGCCTGTCCTTGTTCTCATCAATTCAGAAGATGGTGGTCCAAAGGTTTTCGATCGCAGGAATCCAGCAAGAGCCCTGTACGAATCAAACAAGTTCACTGGATTTTTTCGAGATAATGGGATCGCGGACGTTGGATTTATGGGCGCCAAGTGGAGCCCGTCTGGAAAACAGTACATGGCACTTCGCAGGAAACAATGTCCGATTTATTTTGATGTGAGATTCGAATAGTTTCAACCCTGTTAATTTTTTGAAATGCTCTTTCTTCAGATCGTCAGCCAACGATGTTTAACCCTAGCTAGTGGATCATCCCCGCTAGTTTACCGCAACGCGAAAACCATCAAATCGATGACTTTCATTGATGACTACACGGTTGCCACTGGAAGTGATCTATGGGGAATCCACGTGTGGAAAGCTCCCCGAGCCGACGACGACGAAGGTTTTGTACTTAAAGAACGAGAAGGAGGCGGTCAATATCTCACTGTGGAGAAAGAAGTAAAAGTTCTTCGGGGACATCGCTCGATTCCGAATCAAATTCGGTTTTCGAGCCAAAATCAACTTCTCGTCTCATCTGGAGTAGAAAACTCGTTCAAGCTATGGTCGCATCGTCGTCTCCCCTGGTCCTATGATGTTCCGTTTGCACGAAGAAAACGTGGCGAGTACAGACACACACACGACGTTGAATTGGGTCGAGAAAGGGAGATGCGTAGAACGCTAGAAGACGATCTGGAAGAAAGGAATCTGATGGAAGGTCGTGCTTGTTGGGAAGACGTTTTCGGTGGAAATCCACAAACTATGGAGAGTCGAGAGACGCTGGAAATGTTCGATGTTTTCGTAGATGATGATGATGATGATGTTGATGATGAGTCATCTGATGGCGAGGATTTTGCAGCACGCGTTTTTCAGGAACTAGGATTTCCAAGAGGAAGATTGGAGTTTTTAGTTGTATGTGATGAACCTGTCGAATTCATTGATCACAATTGTTATTTTCAGCATCAAGGAGAGGATGTTCTTGTTCGGGCATTGAACGCACAAAATGGTATAAAATGTATTCTCTGCTGTCTTAATAAACCTTTCAAATTTTCAGCTATGAATGACAGTGACTCGGACAGAGAATATGACGATGACGAGATCGAGGAGGAGAGACGAAGAATGAGAATCGAAGCGGCACGAAGACGAGTGATTCCACCGTTACGCAGAGATTGGTTCGATCATGATTCGGATTCTGATCTTGATGAAAATGACCCTCTACATCGATTATTCGATCATATAATGGAGCATCATCGACATGAGAGTAGCGACGAAGAGGATGACGAAGAAATAGAAGGAGATGAACCAGTTGTTGAATATCAAGCAGGAAGAGAAAATGATGAGGTGATGGAAGAGGAGGAGCAAGAAGAAGATGAGCAATCCGAAGAAGAGTATAGCGATAGTGACGACGTGGCTGCGAATAATGACGTTGATGACGTCGATATGGATGACGAAGAGAATTCAGAAAACGACTAGATGCCACCATTCATCCCAAATTCATTGAATTGAGCTACGCATTTTATGACCCAAAACATGTGTCTGTTAATCATTTTCTTATCAGAAACCACATTGTACATTCCAACTTGTAAAGCCAAAATAGCGTAGAGAAATTGGCGAAAAAAAGCTAAATTTCCATATATGACCATATCAAAATCTCCGCGTAACAACATTTTGTACATTTTGTATTCATACTGCATACTTCGGTTGAAAAGTATTATTCCGGTACAAAAATCGGAACTGTATAAGAGAAACGCCGGTGGCCGTGTCTGAAAGTCCCACAGCAACATCTACCGAAACCTAAAATTTATATTTTTTGAATTTTTCTCGATTTTTACTGCTCTTCGTCGAGTTTTCTGTTATTTTTTTCAAGAAAGACAAAATGAAAATCCGGAAAATTGAAAAAAAAATCTAGGTTACGATAGTTGTTGTTGTGGGAACTTCGGTCATGTTCCACAGCTCTGATTTTTTAAACCAGAATAATACAGTATTTTTCGACTCTAAAAATCTCTCAATTTTTTTGCTCCTACACAATCCCGTTTTGATCATCATGACATATTCGAGTGGCCGATTTTATAATATCAAATGCAAATAATTTTTTCTCAGTTTTCCTCCCCAATTGTTGTACATTTTTTTTTGAAGCGATCTCCTGGCATCCAGGGTTTGGATCTCTTCAAAGCTCTCCGCTGAAACCATTTATCTGATATAATCTTTTTATTTCTATGAATATTCATTTGGTCAAAAATGTTTATTGAACTATACATTAGGCCTTCACAATCTTCGAGCAATTGTACTTGTCCATTTTTATCACACTTGGGATGTATTTCTTTCCACATGTCCACCAAGCGCTGCTCACATGCTGATTGACAACCTTTTTGCAAGTATTGTCCACATAGGTCAAGGTGATTGCTGCCTTCGCAACTCCGTACGTCTTCTGAAGACATGTTTCCTGCTTGGCATCAGCTGTTTGTGTATTGGTTTTCTTGCAATCGGAAAGAGTTGTCTTCACCTTATTAACGAGTGTAGATGTCATGGTCTGAATTGGTGGAACGAGTTTCGTGACTACGGTATCAAGAGAGTCGGGGCTCAGGCAGTTGTTGGCTGAAATCAATTGGTTTGATATGCCCAACAAGAAATTATAGCTACCATTGCTGTATAGGGACATAGCTTGAAGGGCCTTGTTTCCGGAATTGCTAAGAATGCAGTTCTTTGCAACGCTGAGAATAGCAGTGTTGTTGTTGGGAGTTTTGTAGAACTGGGGCTCGATGCATTTAGCAATCTGAGAATGAGGAAATTGATTACCGTAAAACCTTTATTATTAGAAGAGCCCTTTTAATTGAATAGAAGGGACTCTCTAATAGAAGTGCCTCCGGATTCATTGATACAACTCACTGTTGTCAACTCAGCGGCCGTATAAAATGTGAGTCCTAACTTGTCGCATATCATTACCATCGTCGCATCCCGATTCGTTGTGGTCGCATGGCTCAATCCAACAAGAACAAAAATGAAAAGGCTAACGAATGAACGACACATGACAGGAATGTGTGGGTATTCAGAGATCGACATATCCCTTTTATACAAAATTCAAAGTTGTTTTCATCAAACAGTGGATTAATTTTAATAGTTTTTTGAGGTTAGACACCAGGATACTGTAGATCACCGAGAAGTCGACGATTGAAATGTGTTGAAACTCGCGACAATATCTGCCACTCATGTTCGGTACGATATCAAAGTCCAAAAAAATTATCTGGAGATTATAGGAATTGTGTTCAATTGTGAGTGTAAAAAATGTAATCGACGGGATGTGATGGTTAATGAACCATTCTACGTTTTTTGTTCTAGAACTTTCATCATCCGGTCATAAAAAATGTTTCGATGAGGTCTAACCAATCTAGGTCAAAGCTTTTCAACGCTGCTACTTCTATCTTGAACATCAAAATACCGGAAGTGCAGTGATATAAGCCCAGTATGTATGTGAACTTTGAGCTGAATTATCTTGATAACCATGAAAGATATCAAAAATCTGTCAACTGATAAAATATTTCTCATACTACATTTTATTAGTTGATAAATTTTTGTTATCTTTTGATGGAATCGTGATGATTGAGCTTAAAATATACTTATAGGGTGTGCTTCTATTAGATTCACCGTAATACAGTTAGTTTTTCTCAGTTTCTGTGGGATCTATCAAAAAGTTGGTAACGGACAGAATAAAAAAAATACGTAGCCTAGGGTTTTATTATAAAAAGGATTTCAAAAAGAAATGGTAAGATCAGTCAATCAATTTCTTCTTGTTTTCAATCTGAACCATCAGAAACGCTCCGAATTCAGTTCCAGGTTCCAGGAAGTTACTTTGAACATCACACGAATTTCTAGATCGTCCACCAGCATTGCTTCTGGTTCCTGATCCAGTTCCTCCTCGGTTATATGCACCTCGCTTTTGGTGTCAGCCCCAGCTCCTCTGAACTCAGACTCCTGTTCCCTGAATCCAGGATCCCAGATCAATCAATTAATTTCTTACTGTTTTCAGTCTGAACCATCAACGCTCCAAAGAATCATATTTCACGTGAACCATCTCGTAGTATGAATTATCTGATTTCAGTTCCAGGAATTGAAAAAATTATCTGGAATTTCACTGCAGATTTCTTCAGAGCTCCACGCTCATTTCTAGATCCTCCACCAGCATTTGATCTTGCTCCTGATTCAATTCCTTCTTCATTGTATGCTTCTTGCTCTAAATCCTGATCCGGATCCATCTGGACCTCTAGCTCAAGGTTCCAGCTCCTGCAGACCAAGGTCCCGGCTTCCAGAACTCGGGATCCAACACCCGGACTCCAGCACCCGGGCTCCAGAACCCGGATCCCTCCCTCGGGTTCCCCTTCTCTGGAGCCCGGAGAAGGGGAGAACTGATTCTTCCCTCCATTTCCCTCTTCCTTTATAGTATTCTTCCCGGAGTCAATGGGACATCGAGGGTCGTGGATTTTTTACGTCGAATTTTTGGCGGAGTATTGAAATTTTTTGAAATTTTTTTGCCCCGCGGATTTTTAAAAAAATGAATAAGTAATTTTTCATTACGTTTTAATAACACTTGATTTTTTTTGAAATCTGTGAAACTCCTTAAAACGACTATCACTTTGACCTGAATTCGTTTCCTGGTTGAGCTATCAACAAAATTTCAACTAATTAAAGGTTTCTGTCAACTGACAACAGATTAATTATAACATAGAAAATACTTTGTCAGTTGACTACTATTTGATGCCTTTTGCAAGAACCGAGATAACTGAGCTCGAAATGCACGCAAGGGTGAGATCCTATTAGATCAATAATGTACGGTATCAAAAATAAGTACCATCATGATAGTCTGATAAAGAAACATCTTCATTGAGAATGAACTAATTTTTGACAATCTTCGAACATTCATATTTACTGAACGTGAGAACACTTGGAATATACTTCAATCCACATCCCCATTCCTTTGGTTCGACATTTTCATTGACGACCTTCTTACAGATACCATCAACATATGCTAGTGTTAGATCGGTCAAAACGACTCCGTACGTCTTCTGAATGCATGCTTCCTGCTTCGCAGCACCAGTCTGAGTGTTCGTGTCCTTGCAGTTCGATAGTGTCGTCTTCAATTTTCTCACGAGAGCATCAGCAAGAGCAAGAACTGGAGCTATCAAATCGGAAACAACCGAATCAAGAGTCTCTGGGTTCAAGCAGTTGTTGACGTTGCTGTACAGAGCTAGAGCTGAGACAGCTTTGTTTCCAGAATTTTTTAGAATGCAATTCTTGGCAGCCGAAAGAATCGCAGTGTTGTTATTTGGAGTGACATAGAACTGTGATTCGCAACAGTTTGCAATCTTTTAAAAAAACTATATTTTTCTGCATCAGCTCTGAAAATCCTACCACGGTCAGCTCAGCTTGATTCCAGAAAGTGATTCCAAGTTCTGTTGTCGCCATTTTCATCACATCGTCTAGCTTTGTGGCATCACTGAATTGTACTAAAAAGAAAACGATGACGATGGAGGACCTAACCATTTCAGAATATTTTTTATAAAAACGAAGTTATCTTTTATACTGGAAATAGTAGTCGTTAAGTTATATCTGTTATTTCCGTTTCAGATTTATGTTTGAACTTCGGTCCGAGAAATAGAAAAATACCAGATTAACTTGCACGGTTTTTTTCAGTCAATCAAAAACACGATTCAGAGATTTATTGGAAAATATTATTTGAGAAAAAAAACACAAAAAATCTAGAACTTGTTCGCCGGAGATTCATTCTATGTTCGAATAAGAGACGATGTAGATTCTGGAGACTCGCGAAGGAGCTTTGCAGTCTTTTTGAATAGGTCTGAAAGAAGCCACGTTTTATATCTTAAAGTTTTTGCATTATCTTTACCAATGGTCGCTTTTCTATAATTTTTGATAACAATCAATGTGGGAAGTGGGTCAATTGCAGGGTATATAGCTACAGAAACGCTTATAAATGCACTCATATTACCCAGATCGATCTGAATAAGGGGGCAGACAAAAACTATGGAACATGGAATATAGAGAAGGAGTAGAGGAATAGCTGCTTGCATTACAAGAGCTCTGAATAACTGACGCTGAAGACTTTTCGAGAAACCTCCACCGGAAACTTTTGAGACATTTTTGATTTTAAAATAACAGCTTAAACCAAAATATATGACAGTTATAGTTGAGGATCCAATGACGAACCAGAGCACAGCCATCCCTCCGGCTGCGCGCCAATTCATAGCTTGAATACCATTTTTGTCTTCTGGATAGTAATAGGATCCAGTGTACACTATATCTTCTACTGGAAGCTCAAATAAATCCCAAATATCTTTTCTGAAAGTTTTTCTTTATAGAAAAAAAGAATTATGTTTACCTAATGAATTCTGTGAACTCTTTGTCTTCTTCAAAAATAAAATGCATTGTGAGTCCCCAAATGATTCCGTAGAAAATGGGAATGCAGCATAAAACAAACATCTTCCATCCTTTAAAATGTTTCTGATAAGACTTATCCAAAGCTCCATAGCGATACATGAAATGAATAGCGAAGATCGAGACAGAGCAGCCATAGAAACCACAGATGAGGCCTAAAAATAAATTAGAGTATTTTTGGAAAGCATATAAAACAAACTGTTGAGAATCTTGTTCACTGATCTACTGAACATTGAATTCTTGACATCGACAATGACAATGACTCGGGAGGTGTAGGAATGGACGAACTGAAATAATTGCTGTAAACTTTTTGATTGAACGCCACCCAAAGCGCCAGCTTTGAGCTTATGCATCTCATGTACTGTGTAAGATATCAAAAAGTAGTTAACTGATAAAATACTGTTTATATTATGATAAACAGTTTGTCAACTTTTTGATATATTTTACAGGAATCGAGATAATTGAGTTCAAAGTTGACGGTTTGGGTGGGTTTATATTAGAGGGAATAAGGTAAGTTCTAGCAAACGATTTATCAAGTGTTTTCGAGGATGTTATAATTTTATGTCCTAAGATTATTCAGGTTTCAGGAAAATGGTCGGAAGTTGTATAGACTTTAGAATGATCACAAACTACACTCGGTTCGGTTTCTGGTCACAAAATCCATGTTGATGTTACAAAGAAATTAGCTTTATGGATAATTGTTGAACCCATCCTCTATTCATCACTTACCGGTTTTGTGATAACTCCCAATATGGTATACAGTATCTCAAAAACACAGATATAAATCATCAGGTATTTATAGTTTCCAATCTTTTTTGGAGACTTGTATACGATGAGAATAATCAGGTAGACATTTAGAACCAACGAGATAAAGGTGCTGGTTTCTTGTAAATTTTTGCAGAATATCGAAAACGGACTCTTCAACATTTTTCGTGGTTTTCAGATGAATATGTTTCCTTTTGTATCTTTTTGAAGTTTCAACATGTCATCTTTGCGTCAGAGACAGACCTGATAATGATAATTAGGCATACATAGTTTCTAGACTGAAGCAAGAAGAAAAACAATGCAACATGAAAAAAAAACAAAAAATACTTTATGACTAATACATTCAGATCTTAAAAATATTATATAAATAAGCCCGGAAGGTCTGACAAGCAGCTGAATAAAATTATGTTCTAGTAAACTAGAAAGATCATGTTGAAGTACGACTAGTCATAACATGCGAAGGATATGGAGACGTTTCGCAGACATTTGAGGAACTTTTTGCTCGAAAAAATGGCTCGAGAGGAACTCAGAAATCATTAGGTTCAAAATAGAAGTGTTGCTTTCTTTTAATTTTTGACAACGAATAATTTTGGAAGAGTATCGATAGCTGGGTAAAAGCATCAGAGACAGTCATAAATGCACTACAATTTCCAATTTTAACTCGAAAGCGTGGGAAATTTATGAGAAACAAGATGTAGAGCATACTATATCCCCTAATAGAATGCAACCCAATCAGTCAAATTTGAGATCATTTTTCTCGGATCCTTCGAAAGTTTTCAAAATTTTGTCAACTGTTGAATTGATCATCATAATATCACCACTATTTTATCAGTTGATAGATTTTTAATATCTTTCACAGGAATCGAGATAATGCAGCTCAAATTGTACGTATAAGTTGGGCTTCTATTTGAGCAAATACAGAAACACCTTGAAGATGGTCTGAAAAAGTTTTACACTCGACAAATCTATTCTTACATCTTTTCTCAAAACTGAGATGTTTAAAAATAATCTTGTATTACATCATGATGGTTACGAACATGTCTTTGGGGAACCTATGCACATTTCCTGATTCATTTTTACATTTCAGGAACGTGTGATTTTAGCTTATATTGAGAAAATTATACATTTCCTGGGAGCAATAGTTCAAAAGTTGTTTAGATTATTCGAAATGTCCTTTTTTGCAAAAAAAAAAAAGACACCTGCCAAAGGCAGTTCTTGAATGTCTGCTGTTGTAGTCCTTGTGTGAAGCTTGATGTGGATCGACCTAGCTACGTGGATTTATAGCACCTAGAACGTTGAGGAACCCACGAAAGTTACCTATTTTCATTGAAAAAATTTCGCTGACATTCAAGGTAATCCCATATGTCTTTTCTACAGACAAGTAATTCATTCTGATTTCAACTGTGTCAGTTCTGTGAAACCTTCATCTTCTCGGGAAACGAAGGAGATAGTGAGGGCCCAAAAACCTTAAAATATCGGAAATATTAATTTTTGTTCAAAAATCAAAATTTAAAAAGTTAGCAAATGTTGAATGACATGCTCAATGAGCATTGCTCATCCAAGGACCCGTTTTTGTACATAAAATGATGAACAAGAATGGTCACTGAGCAAGCGTAGAATCCACAAATACAACCGTTCAGAATTCTGACTGTTAATGATTGGATTGCTCATGTAGCAGTTTGGAATCATTGTCAAACAGACATAAACAATTTTAAGATATGTCCAGAGAAAAGCGACTAGGAAGTTTGAAGAAGGCTAATCGAGAAAACTGATAACAAAAAAGGATATGCTGGGAATGCTAGACTTGTGAGAAGGTGGTATTTAGACAGGACAACGTATTATTCAAGTTAGGCGCTGATCCCATGAGTTTATCGACGTCGACAGAGCAATTTCAAGAAAATTTATATTTACCGAATCGGTCCCACAGGACACTTTCGAAATCAAAACTCTCCAATGTGTGAACATTCTATCCCGAAGCATTTTGAGCAACGTTAAATTCCAAGAGAAATTTTATAAGACGAATTCGCAGAAAAATGACAAAAAGTGTATGGTTGATGTTCTTTCAAAGTTTAGCTATCCAAATAGAATCTAGTTGCTCTGAAAATGTTATTCAGGCGAATAATAGTCGTACATGAAAGATAGGATATTCCCCATAAGTTTGTTTTCTTATTGATAATGGAATTTCACTTTGTCTAGCTTTGAAGTAAGTTTAGCTTCCAATCGGGGACTCTCGGGAAATCCCACTATTACGTACGGATATGGTCATTGGTATACATGTACAGTACACTATCATCATTATCATCATTTTCAGAAGGATACCTTCTAGTATACAAGTCATAAACAGTATACTGTAAAGTAAATTTTACAATCACCAAGTGCAGGAGGACCAAGTGATGGATGATAATTCTAGAATCACCAAGTCATCATTATGGGCGGAGCCTCAAAAAGGTATATAAGGTAGCGGATCATCTCCTTCTTTACCCACTCTGGTCAGCTCGCTAATCAGAATGTTCTCTTCTTGCTCTGCTGTTATTCTGTTCACTGTATTCTCTGTGTCTGCTGCCACTGGGCACCTTCGTCTGGAGATCACTGCTTCCGATCACTGTAGTCTCCATCTGAAGACCAGCTCCAGCTTCCAATCAATTCTCCTTACAATGGGAACCCCTCGAATCGTCAGCTTCCATCCGAAGATTGATCAAGAAACTCTTGAGATCACCTTCTCCAGGAAAGCTATGACTCCACAGACTCATTTGTATCAAATGAAGAAAGCCAGTCAAGTAAACCATCAAACTTTCATTTTCAAGGATACCGTGCTCTTGGTGCAATCCTACTTCGAATGTGATACGGGATTTTATGGGGACTACTGCTCGGATGATACCACTACCACATCAACAACCACCACCACGACTACCACTACCCCGGAAGCCACAACAACAATCGGAACGACTACACCAGCCACCACCCGAAGAAACGTCTTCACTGAATCTGCACCAATTCAAACGGATGTTTCTGCCAACTCCATCCTCTGTGGATCACTAATCGTCGTCATCATTATTCTTTTGGTTCTAATCTGCATCGTCTTTGCCCTCATCAAACCGAAGCAACACGCTATCTATATTCAACCCCAAATTCCATCTCCAACCCCAACAAAGTGCAAGATCACAATCGAGGACTCAAGATGCAACACTCCAGAAAGCGTCAGATACACTGCTTGTCCTATTAAATCGGTTACTATTTCTTTGTAATTTTTTGTACTGGTTCTTCTTGTTTTCTAAAATGGTTTCTTCATTCAGTTTAATAAAAATATAATAATTTAAATTGTTTTTCGTTTTCATCGAAGACCAAAAAAAACAAAATAGTTTTATAAACCAGGTATTCAATCCACCTGAAAATTACCTTGTCTCGTGACGGCTACAACAATCCATCTGCATCGCAAGCATCATAAAATCAAGTCTCCAATCTTGAACATGAAGCAGGTGAAAGACATCTTGACCCACACACAATTCCCTATTTTCCGTTTTTCCTGAAATCATTTATATCACTCGCAAATCGATTAAAAATGTTACCAACTCTCAAAGCTTCTGGAACTTTCATTCTCGAAGTTTTTGCTGTTCTTGGCGCGCTGGCCGTTTCGCTGATGGCTGAGAAACGATTTTTGTGCGCTCCTCGAATGTTGTTCGTGTTTCAGCAGGTAGGACTTCAAATTTGGAGTAGAATGGAAGATTTAATAGTTTCAGATGTTCATGTTGATTTACGTTATATTTTTCCTGAATTACTTCAATATGGATCGGCAAAGCGATGACGAAATTGCGGTGGGTTTCTGTAATACCTGTAATGAAAGGGCCTTCTAACTGTCAACTTAAAGATTACATATCATTTCCTGTATATTAAAAAGTTGTCAACTGATAAATATTTACTCATCATATCACAAAAATTTTATCATTTGACAGATTTTTGATGTCCGAGCCAAGAAAAATGAGCTCAAACTTGACAGTGTGGGGTCCTTTTATTACATGTTATACAATAACCACTAGTCTGATACGATAGAGTTACTTCAGATTAGCATATGATCTTCTGGAGAAAGACCCAAAAATCAATACATGTTCGTAATATTTTTAGAATTCACCTGTTCTGAGTAAATTGAAAACTAGAAGATGTCTTGTAGTCAGTGAAAAGAGAACATGGACAAAACACCCGCCCAATTAATTTTGAGATCTTCTCAGGTAACTCCCGTTTGGGCAGTCGGCGGCGCGCGGTGGAAATCCCCATATAGGCCCCACATCAGCCCCATTTTACCCCCGATTTACCAACGACACAGGCTTTTCAAAAACAATTTTATTGATTACACAGAAACGCAAAACAGTCTTAAACGATAGACTACTCTAGATGAAAAACAATAAAGGAAATATGAAAAAATACAAAACAATCAGTAAAAATTAAGAAATGGAGCTAGACTTGGAAGTGGAGAAATGATCTGTCGTTTGGAAAAGTCTAGCAGCATCCTGTCCGGTTTTTCGCTGAGCTCGCTGAAAAATGGAGATTATAAGGGGGAAAAAGTTTCATGACACTTACATTCTCAATTTTTCTCTTCAGGATTTGTTGATCTTTCTCTGGAGTCTTTCGATTCGGTTTTTCACCATCGTTGTCTTTCTCCTTTTTTCTCGCACCAGTCCTGAACAGATAAAATAATCTTCGATAGAAACAAGAAAGAGCCCTCACCAGTCTTATTTTCGTTTTCCTTCGTAAACGCTTTGGGTACGATGAAGAAAGAGTATGGGTTATCGAAAAAAATTAAAACAAATCATCACAAAAAAAACTTAGAACAAAATTTTGCGTCATCGAGGATCCGCTTGTGCCAGTATACTCTGTTGGCGCTCCCCATTTATCCCCCATCTACCTCCCGTTCCCCTCTTTCCAGTCGGCAGGGGGATCCCCACTTACTCCCCACATAGCCCCCGTTTGTAAAGAACGAGAATCTAGAATTCAGCGTACCCTGTTTTGTCCCCATATAGTCCTCGTAACGGGTAACTCCCAGATCACACGGGTAACTCCCAAATAACCTGGGTAACTCCCGTTTCGATTGGGTAACTCCCAAGGCTTTCTCGGTCTTCATTATTTTGAAAATTTATACCATGTTAATAACCAATTGTTCCGGTTTTAAAACTATCATGAATTTAGATAAAATTAGTTGTTTTTATAATGAAGTCAATCCTGAATTATTGATATGATGAGGCACTAATTTCCAGCGCCTTCTGTGCCTTTTCGAGGTATTTGCTACCACTTTCATCGACTTGATCTACCTCTCAATGCTCCATTTATCAGCTGTTGAATCTGGTTTATCCTGTCTCGCAATCACTTTTTTCCTCTTCGCCGCTTTCTTTCTTTTCTTTGCTATCAGTATTTGCCAAAGGACTATTGATGATCCTTTAAATTTGTTGGCCAGCAAGCTATTCAGTTATCAATTGATTCAAGCAATCCTATTCTTGTTTTGCACTCTTTGTGTAATTCGATTGACTGTTCGACAAGATGTGGAAAAGAAGAAGCCCCTCCGAACGTTTCTTCCTCATTATATTTTGACGGTAAGGTTTGCAGTTTTTGGTCTCATAAAACAAGGAACAACATCCTAATGAGTTTTTTTCTTGTAAATGCCACTTTGCAGTATTGCTCTGTTGTTCTATTCTTTATTCTTCCAAGAAGCACATTCCTCTGGGCAGTAATTATAAAAATACCCGACGAAGACGATTCAATATTACCAACATTAAGAGCAATCATGTTCATTACTCCGGTTTATAACTTTTTATTTGTGATTCTTATAAATTGTCAAGATCCGGAAAGAAGGCAAGAGTTCAAAAAGTCGGTTGGTGAGTTGAAGAATTTAAATGGTTTAGTAACTGATTGCGACTTCAGAACGAGCTTTCCGTGGGATCAAAACCGGACCCATTCCCCGAATCAATGTACAAGAGCCGACTAGCAGTTCGAATCTTCCATCCAGAAGCCACGTGGCATTGAGTCTGATGCGGAATCCACTCAACTCGTTCAACAAGTTACAAAGGCAATCGACAATTCCAATGGACGAAATGTAAAAACATTCTTCTGCTTTGTCAGAAATTCTGAGTCAGAATATAAGTTTGGAATTTTCAGACCTCCTGAGAATAACCTTCGGGTCCCACGAGATCAGAGATATTATGCTGCTACTGATGAAGATGAAAATGCTGATCAAGTGGCAACTCCACAAGAAATATTGACTTCTAGAAATTCAGATGAAAGAGGTTTCATGACAGTGGCCATGTTGAGAAGGTACAGTACCGGTCAACAAGATACTCAAAAATATATTTTCAGTTGATTTTTCGGCCATTTTGGCCATTTTCAGGGGTATGGAGCTGAGCTATCAAGTCTCTGATCAGCTATAAAATTTTGGAGGGTGTGAAATAGACCTAGATGGAAAACTTTGCATTCCCAGAACTTTTCGAAAATTCCTAGTTTTTCAGCTTTTTGCCGATTTCTGAAGGACATCCCTTTTTTGCCCGTTTTTGTACTGCAGACTTGAAAAAAAAACAGGTGTCTTTCAGAAATCGGCAAATAGCTGAAAAACAAGGAGTTTTCAATAATTCTGTGAATACAAAGTTTTTGTTCTGGGTCTGTTTTACACTCTCCATAATTTTCAAAGTGATTGGGAACTTGAGAGCCAAGCTCCAGACTCTGAAAAATGGTCAAAATGTCCGAAAAAACTTTAAAAAAAACGTTTGTTTATCTTGAAAAAGAGAACTAATTGTAAGTAGAAATACTTGGAAAGTAAACCCCTAATGTGTGAACTGGGCCAATTCTTAGTCTCTATCCCAACCCAAAATTTGCATACTTGTGAAGGGCCGGGCCGGGCCGAAACACGAATTTCACCGGCCCGGCCCGGCCCGGGCCGGAAGTTTACCGCGAACTTCAAAATCTTGAGCGAAAAGTTGAATCATTGTTTCGAAAAAAGGTATTCAGTGTTTTTTTTCTTCGAGTTATTTTTCAATACATTCTAAAAATCAATAAATTCATTTTTCAAAAATTTTATTTTTTTTCTGCCGGGCCGCCGGGCCGGGCCGGGCCCTGAAAATTTTCTCTCGGCCGGGCCGAAATTTCACAAGTATGAAAATTTGTTTTCCAGAGCCTCCCAAATAAGTCAAAGATTCCAAAACATTCGCAGCGGTCCGAACTCTGCCCGAACTGAATCAGCACGTACACCCTCACCTTCTCCTTCTCAAAAAATAGAGTCATCGTCGTCCAGTGATCAGGTGATAATACTATTATCTCATTTACATCACGGCTTAGAAGCCCTTCAAATGACCAACTTAACTTTCATGACCTTTTCCAGAACCCCGAGCAGTCATCATCCACCGAAAGGGCACAACCTCTTGACGTTTCCCAACTTCTTGGATTCTTCATCACGTCGTCGACGTCTTCTGTTGCAATGACGATGCCAGTGAGAAATAAGCGAGCCGTGGAGAGAATCCAAGAAGTTTTGCATAATACTCCCGATTCATTGATGAATGTGAGAATAGAATAGTTTCAGTTTATTTATAAACAGAAACTTCTTATTTTTTCTAGAATTCTCCAGAATCATGAATAATCAAAATCTCTAGTCTTCCGCTTTCTTTTTTCCCATCTTACTCATACGTTGTACTTATTTAGTAAAAATAAAAAAATCATCAATCAGAGAAAAAGAAATATCAGACTTATTTGTATCAGGTTGTAAATCCACATTAGGAAATCTCCGGTGTGGGTGGTTGAAAGAGGAAAAAGATAATCCGATGAGAGAGATAAGGATAACGAGTAGTGCAAAATAAATGTATTTGACATTTTGTTTGATAGAAATGTCTGGAGAAAAGATTGTGAATAGAAAAGTAATCCGGGTCAGCTGATTTGAAAATGGATCTGGAAAATGTTTAAGCGGATTACCGTAGAATGTGGTGTGTCAAAGCAGTTTGAGGATATTGATCTTTTGAATCTTTCAAGTATGCATATCAGACTTTAGAGCTATTTTGAAAGATGAAGAAAATTCAGGATGTGGGAAACTTTTCAAATTGAAGTAACGTAAAACCTGTAATAGAAGGATTCGCTGACTTCGAACCAACATATCATCTGGACGAAAAATTCAAATTTTGGGATTTCTTGTTCATCTTTTAAGAATTTGATTTTCGAATCGAATTTTTCATAAAAATTCGATCATTTTGAACTCAATTCCGGCAATTGTTGAGCATTATGAAAATTGTGGGCTCCAAAACTCGTATGTTACCAAAATGAGCCTAAATAGGTAAATATGGGCTCGAAATGACGGAAATTGAACTAAAAATTCGAATTTGGAGTGTTTTCTCTGCAATAGTACAATTTGCTCAGGTAATCTAGAGGTCCCAGGTTATCCCTCTTGAAGCTCGGAATTATTTTTAAACCATACCGCCCTTGTTTGAGCCTATTTTACTCGATTCCTGTGAAAGATATAAAAAAGCTGTCAACTGATAAATTATCACAATATCGCAAACATTTTATCAGTTGAAATTTTCTTGATATCTTACATAGGAACTGAGTTGATTGAGCTCAAACCTGACTTATGGGACCCTACTATTAGATTTATTACGGTATTGGTTGAGAACAGAAAACTTCTATAATTTTAAAATGTTGGGTTCTAGAACTTGTGAAGAAATCTTAAATAGGCAAAAAAACCTTTGAAACTGTTTTCCTAAAATGAGGAAATTTTAATGTTCCGATCTCGTTTTCTAAGGATCATCTTTCAAAAATATGATTCTTCAAACATAAAAAAGTTCAAAACTCTTCAAATCTCGAAGATCTCTAGGAATCATGTTTTTCAAGTACCTGACCTAACACACTTCACACAACATTGAGTCACTGAGCAAGGGAACCAAAATATAAAACTTGAATTCTTTGAAAATCTACCGTGAAGCCTGTAATATAATAGCCGCCGCGCTGTCAAGTTTAAGCTCAATTATCTCGGCTCTTGTAAAAGATATCAAAAATGTGTTAACTGATAAAATATTTCTCATATTATCAGCTACATTGTATCAGTTGACAAACTTTCGATATCTTTCACAGAAATCGAGACAATTGAGCTCAAAGTCGATGGTTTTGGAGGCTTCTATTAACGCAAATACGGTATTTGAGAATCTTTCTAAACTTAATTTCTTGTTAGTAGTGCAGAATTTTTAATTATTTTGATCACTTCTAGAACATTCTCTAATTAGTTATGTTGATCATCAGAACTCTTCGAATTCCCACCACTTCCCACCAACTTTTGCCCATAATTTGTCATCTGAAATGTGACCTTCTTTCGTGACAGCTTCTAACCAACTAAATGCTTACACTTCCCTTTTCAAATGTTTTTTTAGAATCATCAACAAAAACAACATAAGTACACTTTATTCTCGTTTTTGCTCTCTCAGCGTCAGGTAAAACATCATAATACATGAAAAATTTCGGAAGATTTAGAATCCAGAAAATGGACGTTGACGACCTCCTTCTTCTCGTAGAGTGAACATTGGATTATGGTATGGGAAGCGGTTCATGAAGGCCTTCATCATTGGGCGACCGGATTTTTCTGGAATAAATAGATACTAGTTACTTATTGCCTACGTTCATTATTTTCCCTCCCCAGAATCCACATCATCTAACAAAACAGGGGGTGAATTCCGGGGGTTGAATGAAGCAATTCAGAATACTCACGGAGCCGGAAAAATGATTCTTCTTGCGACGATTGGCCGTGGGTCGACGGAACGACGAAGACGAACAACAGGAAAATGAGGGAGAGCTGGAAAAGAAAAAATGAAAGAAATAATGGAAGAGGAAGAGAATAATTGTGCTTCGTCTGTGTGTGCAGGAACACAGTGATTATTAGTTAGTCAGGCGGGAATAACATGAAAGGTTGTCTCGGGTATTGGTACCAGGGATTCCGGGTACTGATGCATCTAACAGACCCAGAAATGGAGAAAAACACCAGAAGGAGGAGATGACGTGACATCTTCTTCTTCTTATTATTATTCATTACAATTGCTATGACTATCCAAATAATCGTAAATTTTCGGGTAGGAAAAAACCCAGAGAATTTTTAAATTGCTCAAAGTAACTGATTTTTTTCATAGAATAATCAAGGATCAACAACAATATATGATAGGGCAACTCCACTAGTATCCCAATATTCAAATTGTCTATCTGGAAATGGAAAAAAAAGTTGTAAGAATTCACCGTAAACACTCGAATAGAAGGCTACTCAAACCGTCACCGCCATCTTTGAGCCTATGTACATATCTCGGTTCCAGAAGAACATATCAAAAAGTGGTTAACGGATAAAATGTTTCTGATATTATGATGTATATTTTGTCAGTTGACCACTTTGTGATATATTCTACCGGAACCGAGGTATATAGGCTCAAAGTTTACAGTTTGAGTGACCCTTCGACCTCAATTATCTCATTTTCTATAAGAGATAGCAAACATTTATCAGCTGATGAAATATTTGGACCAAAGGAAACCCAACACCCGGAACATGACACAATGAAACAAATTCAGTTAGTCTACAGTGCCCCTAACTTACCAACTTGACGAATTGCATTTTTTTTGAGAAGAGTGTAGGATAGAATCAGTGAATGACTAGAATGCGAATAGAATGAGCACCCAGGAAAAGTGTCCATATGCTCAAAGCTCCGCCCGCTTCTTCATCTTCGCCACGCCCCTCCACCCGCTTTCTTACACTTTTGGCACTTTTTGGCCACTGATGGCGTTTGGAGATAGAAGGCTTTTTGGGCGAGCTCCATAAATAAAATCCTGAAATTTTCATACTAACTGAAGTGAGACAAATTCTCTGGAATAACTGTTTGTTCTGAAAAAATGTCAGATTTTATTTAATTATTCAGAATGTTCAATTGTGAATTATAGAATTCGAGTGTCAACAAAAATGTCTTGTCTGCTGAATAAAGAAGAATTTGCCATACTTTCCTCGGAATTTAAGATTCGTCTTTCCATTCTCCGACTTTAAAGTTGGAAAAGTCCACCGTCGGAAGCAATGCACTGAAATCTTGTTAGCAAGTCTCCCACACTCATCAGAAAGCGTCATTCGGTGGGAGTCTGAAGTTTAGATCGTTTTTAATTTTTTCCGGAAATTACCAGGTCGAATGAGGAAAGAGCTGGACATCATTATACCTCATCTCGACATCATGCAAACTAATACGACGCGGATTATGTCAGAGAACTGTTGCAACTGGTTTCCTCGTGAATCGTTGGCTTTCATCGATCTGTTTTCATTCAGGTTCAAGTTGATCGCAATATGATTCGTGTTGTGTTTTTGATGCTGATACTTCTAACTACTTCCTACGGAGAATCTGGTTTTCCTGTTCAGACTCTTGTAAGCTGCGGTATTTCCCAATTAACGATCAATGGTGTTCAAGGTGTCATAGATAACCACTCCGTAAGTGTAATAAAGTTATATTTTCGATATTATGACTTCAGTCTATGATTCAATTAGCAAAGTCTGATAAAAGAGCCAAGAAGACGGAGATCGACTCATTGAAAGCGGATATCGACGCTTATTTAGAAAGCAATGCTTCAGACGATGACAAGGTTTGAGCCATATTTATAAATGGAAGTGCAAACGAATTTTCAGCAAAAATGGATCGAGTGCATCATGAAAAAAACTTCCAATGTATGATAACTTTCTTTTCCCTCGATAATGAATTTTTCAAACACTATCTTCAAGCAATAACGCTTTTATTTATAACAATGGTGGAACAAACACGATTTAAGCATCGGTCTTTGGCACCTTGGTCTTCTTGACCTGGGAGCGGACGTAGGCGGCAGCGCGACGTTGAGCGAGCTTCTGGAACTTGCTGAATCCGGTGTTCTTAGCCAAAGAGCGGACAGAGGCGACTGGGGTCTTGCTCAAGGTGGCGGTGGCGACAGCCTTGGCTGGTCTTCCCTCTGGAAAATGTTATTTAGAATTGCGTACACGGAAAACTGTTCTTACTCTCGTTCTTGGTGGAGACGACGACTCCCTTTGGGGCGGCGCTGACATCAATAGCGTGCTTGTTGGCGAGTCCACTGTACTTTGGGCTGTTAACCTTCTTGAGGTTGAACTTCTCAGTGGAGAATCTCTTTCCGATTCCGCGCTGAGTTCTGATGAAAGCGCTGTTGTTGCGGATGACTTGCCACACGAGTGCGTCGGACATTTTACCTGAAAAATGAATAAGTGAAATAAGCGAAACACAGAAACAAGGTCAATTTACAAGATAATCGCTCGAAAATGAAATTTCCCACTCCTCGACCTAATTCACATGATTTCAGAACGTATTGATATCGGGATAGGGTAGAAATTCACAAAAAGTTGAGCGATGTATCAATACAGTTACGGAACTCATTAATTTCGATTTAAAATCGGGAAAAAAACGGAAAAATCGGCTTGAAAACGAGAAGAAAATAAATAAAAAAATTTCGGCTTGGCCTAAAATGTAGCTGCAAGTGCGCTCTATCGTATCGACGTTCGCGCGGAGTGTCGTAGTTGCGCCCGGTTTACCGTAAATCGCCATAAGGTTTTCTTCATTTTTTTAATCTCGAAAAATATCCGGATAACCTTTCAAATTCGTTAATGTTTTCTCGAAAATACATATTAAAAATTTTCAGAAAAAAATGTTGAACTCTACAATGCGAAGTCTCGTCTCTCGAACAGCCTGTAGATCTCAATCGTACTTCTCAACTTCCTCCGTGAAAAACATTGAAAAGTTATGGGAGAATCCATGGAAGCACGCTATTCCAGAAAAAAGTTAGTTATTATGTTGTTTTTCAGATTTAAATACTGAAATTACAGCAAAAACTTTCGCAACAGTTGAAGAAGTACCTGTTGACTGGAGCTTTGTGGAGAGATTGATGCCAATTGAAGTGGTACCAGAAGTCCCAAAACATGATTCTTATCCAACACCGAGTGGATGGACACCACCAACTGGTAAGTTGAAATTGAATCATTCCATGTTAATATTATGTTTTCAGCTGCTGGAAAATCTCATTCCTACTATGTTCGTCGTCGCCCAGATCATCTCCTTCCACTTTATCTAGAACGAAAACGGGATCTACTGAACGAGAAAACGCTAGACTTTGATTATGTCGAGTTGGTGACTGTGCGAAACGTAGATGGAGACGTTTTTGTAAGTTATTTTATCAGAGATTCTTGTGGAAACTGTACGTATTAAAAAAATTTTCAGGCTTGCGAGCATGATCTCCGTAGCTATCTTGAAGAACAACTCGGACATTCTGTGGCAAGCCACGTTGATGAACTGAAGGGGCGAATCAAGGTAAAAGGAGCCCCAAGATTGCTGATTGAACAGTTTTTCTATAGCAAAGGTTTTTAAAAGACATTGTTTTTCCTAGTTTTTTTAGGTCGTTTTGTTTTTTGTGTATTTATTGTTGGAATTGACATGAACATGCTATTCTTTATTCTTCTTGAAACATTATCATCTCGACCACATATAAACCGGTTCTTACCCGTCAGTTCTTATATTTATTTTCTTCTTTTCAACTTCCGTAATTGCGAAATGCCGAGATTTCTTTCAATAAGAATGCCATCATCGATTTGCTGCACAAACTGTAGAACCAAGTATTCTCTTTTAAATCGCGAGGTAATCAATGGTTTCTGAAGACAAGTAAACCAATTTCGGAGTTCAGGCTGGTTGCTCGAGTTGTGCTCTCTCGTTTTGCAAGAAATGCTTAGGACATCGTGCGATAATTCCTACTCTTTCGGATCAACCGATGATTGTATGTTACAATTGCTATCAAAAGTTAGAAGCAGCGAAAATGAAACCGGATGCAACAATAACTTCAGTACCGCTTTCATCAAACCAACAGTCGTCACAAAGCTCTTCCAAAAACTGGTGGGGTGAAGGTTTACCACCTCCATCTTTCAGAGGTTCGTATGGTAATCAGAATCAAAGTGTCAACAGGGCGATGAATTACAATAGGCCTGCATCTCAGATGCCTCAGCAGCAACCGCAAAAAATTGTAAGCAGCTAAAAAGTAGTTAATTCAAATTTCATTTTTCCCAGGCACATGTTAACGTCGAGGATCTGGAACAACGGCGAGCAAAACTTCGCGAAGACATGGAACCTCCCGTTGAAGCGCTGACGATTGATGAGATCGAGGAGAGACTAGCGAAGCTTCGAGAATGTGATGTTGAAGTGATACGGAATCCGAGAAGTGTAAGATTTATAAACAAAATAGTTCAAATATCGTGGAATCTATATAAGAAGGGCCTCTCTGATAGAAGGGTTCTTCGAGAGGGCATTCAGTGAAGAAGCAAAATTACTGGTTTTTCTTCCCTCTGCATAATGGCGCGTTCAAAGTTGATTTCCAGGAGTAATTCCCTGGAAAAACGCTGTCCAAAGCTGCCATTGTTTTCCAGAAATCTCCGCTTCGAGACCCGCTGTAAATCGCCATGAATCAATAGGAAGAACACAGTCAAAACGAGTGATACAGTAGTTTACTGTTGCTGTAAATCTGGAAAACAATCGCAGCTTTGGACAGCGTTTTTCCAGGGAATTATTCCTGGAAATCAACTTTGAACGCGGCATAAGGAAAAACCAACAATTTTGCTGAATTGCTTCTCTCTCAATAACCCCATTATAAACAAAGAAGGCTTCAATAGAAAAGCCCCTCTAATAGAAGGGCTCTCCGAGGGGATTGATACACTGCTGGACATAATTATAAGTTCACTTTGAACTTCGAGTTTTCTCGAAAACTGTGAATATAGACTGAACAGCATATGAACGCAATAAATACTATTTTGAAATGTCAATTAATTAATACCATTCGATACCACTATCGTTTCTTGATTTTGGAAATTTCGAAAAAATCGGAAAAATGACCCGAAAAAAACGGACATAATTATAAGTTAACTTGAAACAATCGAGCATAACTCGGGATATAGGATTTGCACTGTGAGTAAACTGCAAATTATAACAAACATAACGCAATATAGTCCTATTAGCATAAGAAACTTGGTTGTATCTATACTCATAGTTATGCCTCATCCGTTTTTGGCCAGCTTATACTGAAAATGAAGTTTTTCGTTGATAAATGTTCTGAAAATTACGAAGACTCTAACTTTTTGAGTTTTTTAGTATTATCCTTAAATGCATTCCTCATTTAACTGTTGAAAACATTATGATTTTTTCACCAACCGGAGAAAAACCAGCATTTCAGCTCATTTTTATCGCTATGTTCCAAGTGGTACTGTACCTTGCTCAGTAGAAATTTGACTGAGCTAATTAGCATAAAAGAAAGATACACTCGTGTTTATTCAGAAACAAACATAAAATCATAAAAATCTGTATTTGTGTTCATGGAATCACGCAAAGTGTCGGACCACATAAATTCCAAGCATAAAATTGGGTTATAGATAGACATGTTTAAGGAGTTGTTTTGTAAAGAAGGAGACACGTAATCTGAAATTTCTTTTTGTAATCACACTTGCCGGTTATCGAATTTACATATAATTAGGGAGATTGTTTAAGTATTCCGGTATAGACAAACAATGAACCTTGGAAAACTACAATTTTTTGAAAAATATTACCTATTTCCGAGCTCTCAATTTTTGTTTAGAAACAGCTTCACCTATTTTAAAGTTGCTGAACACATTGGAAAAGTCGCAAATAAAATATGCAAAAAGATTCATTTTGATAGGTCCACTCCAAGTAAAAAAAAATCAGTCAATAATCTACGTTTCTAACCTCAGAAGGTACTTCATATCTCTTCGGAATGATTGTTTCGAAAAGAGACGTCAACTAAAAAAACATAAACTCGGACTTTTTCAATATGTTCAGCAACTTTAAAATAGGTGAAACTGTTTTTAAACAAAAATTGAGAGCTCGGAAATAGGTCATGTTTTTCAAAAAATTGCAGTTTTCCAAGGTTCACTGTTTGTCTATTCCGGAATGCTTGAACAATCTCCCAAGTTTACATGTAAATTCGAGAACCGGCAAGTGTGATTACAGAAAAAATTCTAGATTACGTGTCTCGTTCTTTACAAAACAACTCCTTGAACATGTCTATCTATAACCCAATTTTATGCTTAGAATTTATTTGGTCCGACACTTTGCGTCATTCCATGAACACAAATACAGATTTTCATGATTTTATGTATGTTTCTGATTAAACACAAGTGTATCTTTCTTATATGCTAATTAGCTCAGTCAAATTTCTACTGAGCAAGGTACAGTACCACTTTAATGAGAAATGCATTTAAAAAAAATACTAAAAAACTCAAAAAGTTAGAGTCCTCGTTATTTTCAGAACAGTTATCAACGAAAAACTTCATTTTCAGTATAAGCTGGCCAAAAACGGATGAGGCATAATTATGAGTATAGATCCAACCAAGTTTCTTATGCTAATAGGACTATATTGCGTTATGTTTGTTATAATTTGCAGTTTACTCACAGTGCAAATCCTATATCCCGAGTTATGCTCGATTGTTTCAAGTTAACTTATAATTATGTCCGTTTTTTTCGGGTCATTTTTCCGATTTTTTCGAAATTTCCAAAATCAAGAAACGATAGTGGTATCGAATGGTATTAATTAATTGACATTTCAAAATAGTATTTATTGCGTTCATATTATTCTGTCTGAGAAAAAAAAAGGTTGAGATGCAGAGAAAAAGTGTCTGTGTCTCCACCTTATGTGTGCTATTTAGGCTCTCCGCTTCGATATCGCTACCGTATTCAGACTGCAAAAAATACTGTCTAACCTTTTTTTTTCTAAGACAAGCATAATATGCTGTTCAGTCTATATTCACAGTTTTCGAGAAAACTCGAAATTCAAAGTGAACTTATAATTATGTCCAACAGTGTAATAGGAGGACCGCCCCTTCTAATACAGGTTTTACGGTAGTTCAATTTCTGGTTTTCAGTGGCTCACATCATCTTCCAAAGACGGTCCTGCAATAAATGCCAATAATCCGGCAGAACTGATGCGAATAGCCGAAGATCGAGCTAGGATAGAGCAGAAAGAAGAGGAAATGGAAGCGAAGGATTGGGAGGAGTTGGAAGCTAGAAGAAGAAAAATATTTGATAAAGAGCCTGAAGAAGGGGAAAAGGAAGATACTGCAGTGAGAGAGTCGATGGTTTCTGGAAGTACGGAATTCAGCGAAGCAACGAAAGAAGAAATGAATGAAATTAATAAGTAAGTAGATTTATCCCTAACTAACTAATTAGTCGAAATATTTCCAGCTTACTAATAGACGCTGAAAAACGATGTGCAGAAACGAAGAAACAGGAGGAGCACGATGCTTCTGAAATGCGAAATTTGATGAAAGCTTGTGAGTTTTTTTCAAAACATTTCTAGTTGGCGACAGTCTTCCAAATTGTCATATTTAAGCTCGTCAGAAGTCGTTGGATGCTATGCAATGGAACGACAAAATCACCAAAGAAATCGGCGGTTTTTGGGATCGTCAAAATGCAAAAAGTGAAGAAGAAGATGAGGATGATAAGTCTCTAGACGAAGAGACGTTCAAGAAAATTCTTCATGAAGCTGAAAATTCTGTAGACGTCGAACCTCCTACTGAGGAAAATACCACAACAACCGCGCCAAACTCTTTCTCGTCCCCAAAAAAGAAAGGATTCTTTGAGAAGTTGTTCCGAAAAGATTCTAAGCAATAACCCTTTTCCCCTGTACTTTTTTCTGTTCCTGTTCCTGTGAAATATTTACTTCAAATTGTATTTTATAAATAACGTTATTTATATTTGTTTTGTTCCTGTGTAATTGCCCGATTTAACCCAATTTAGCTTCAAAAATTCAATTATTAGCAAATCCGCCGTCAACGGGAAGTGCAGATCCAGTTGTCATTGATGCGTTGTCAGAGAGCAAGAAGAGAACGGCTTGGACCACTTCATCAACTTCTGCGAATCGCTTGATTGGCATCTTGTCCAGCATCTTCTTTTTCTTTTCCGGATCACTCCAGTTCTGAAAAACAAATGGTTTAAAATGAGATATACAAAAACGTATTTTTCAGTTAATTTTCGGTCATTTTGACCTTTTTCGAGTGCCTAGACCTCGGCTGTCAAGTTTCCGATCACTCTGAATATTTCGGATGGTGTAAAACAGAAAATAGATTTAAAACTTTGCATTTACAGAACTTTTTTGAAAATTTCTATTTTTTCCAGCTATTTGCAGATGTCTGAAAGGAACCTCTTTTTTTAAATTTTTCAGTATAAAACGGGCAAAATGCGGATGTCCTTCAGAAATCGGCATGTAGCTGAAAAGCTATAAATTTTCAAAAAAAATCTGTAAAGGCAACGCTTTAAATCTAGACCTGTTTTGTCACCTCCAAAGTTTTCAGAAGGATCGGAACCTTGACAGCAGAGATCTCCTAAAAATGGGCAAAATGGAAAGTGACTCACATCTCTTCCCATATCAGTCATGACAACAGTTGGATTGACACTATTGACTCGAATATTCTGTGAACCCAATTCGTTAGCCAAACATCTCGTAACCATGTCCAGAGCAGCCTTCGAAGCACAGTATACCGTATGATTGTCCATTGGGCGTATAGCAGCTTGCGATGAAATATTGACAATAGCTCCCCGGATTTGTCGGTCCACAAAGTTTCTAGCAACCAGTTGAGCAATCAGAATCGGACCTCGAACATTAACAGCGAAAGTTCTATCAATCGATTGCTGAGTTATCTGTCCGATGGCATGGTTTGTAGCGATGCCAGCGTTATTCACAAGACCATGAATTGGGAAGTATGGGACGATGAGTTTAAAGAGAACTTCTTCATTTGCACTGACATCTCCGACGATTGGAATTATGGTATGCCTCTGAAAGGTTCATTTTGTGAATCTACTCCAGAATTCAGATATAACCAACCAATGAAGTTGATTCTTTGACCAAACCCAACAAATTCGCTTCGCTTCTTGCAAAAGCAATAACTTGCGCTCCAGATTTCGCCAACGTTAGACAAATTTCTTTTCCGATTCCTGCAAATTTGATAAAGTGTGATGTATGATCTGAAGGTGATCACACATTATATTTTTATCTTTATTTCCGCTTTTTCGTAGTACTTCAATACTGTTGGAAAGTGTTCGTTTTCATCGAAACATCAAATTCTTCAGTATAACTGGAAAGATAAGGAAGATAATCAAAATGATAAAACTTCTTGACCAAAGACTGTCATGTTATCATGTTATCAAAAATTTTCTCATAGTTTGAACTGGATCTGATTTATGACCGGAAGTTGAAGAGGAAATTTGAGAGAAATGGTGTTTTCACAATCAGATGATTTACAGATACTTGACGATTTCGTCGAAAAAATGAAAAATTCGAGGAATTTTCCTATAAGGTGACTTTGACAGAGAAAGAAAGTTAGGGTTTTTGGAGGTAGAAACCTATAATCTTTACAAATAATGTTGATATAATGATAGGCACAAGACCTAGAAAACCCCTTAAACATGTTAATAGAGAGCCACCCAAACCGTCAACTTTGAGCTCAAGTATTTCATTTCCAGTAACAGATATGAAAGGTTACCAATTAAAAAAATGTTTATCACAATATCAAAAATAAATTGTCGGTTGATCAGTTTTTGATATCTTTCACAGTAGTCGAGATAATTCAGCTGAAAGCTGACGGTTTGTTTGGACTTCAATCGGATAAAATTCGGTAATTTTAAGGTCATATGTTTCAGTTGCTGTAAAAGATATCAAAAAATGGTACACTGACAAATAGTTCATCTTAATATCAAAAATATGTTTTCAATTTATCACATTTTGATATCTCTTACAGGAACCGAGAAAATTTAGCTCAAGGTTAACAGTTTGGATGGCATTCTATTGGGTTATAGAAGGGCTGAATTCCACCAGAATCGTTTTTCTTTGCAATAGCTAAAATTAGTTCGGTTTTCTGTGCTAATCATATTTTTCTATTGAAAATACCTGATTACTCAGGAAAGTTAATCTGAATTTCTGAAAAAAGGATCTACAGGATTCAAAGGATCCATAAATCTAATGGGGTCTAGGGAAAGTTGAAAGTTTATGGACTCGCTTTTCCTATAGAAGAAAAATACGGTATCTCATGCAATATCTTGTAAAACTTCAATTTAATCCGAAATCTCGAGTTTTTTGCCTCACCTTGACTGGCTCCAGTGACAAGAATGCGTCTGTCAGTGAAATCGTAATTGGCTGGCATGATGTAGTCGTCGTCAGATGACATGAATCGTATCTCTCTCTTTGACCACTTTTATATTGAGACTATTTTTGTTATCAATGTGGATTGTCTAACTACCTGCGTCTATTATATTCCTGTGTGTTGATGATAGCATTGATGGGTTATTCTATTCCGAGACATAAAGGGAAACCCCCTCCCCCTTTTGATGTATTCTTTGTACAGAAGATGAAAAGAAAGCAATGTAACAAGAGATATTAAACACTTTATTGGATTACGACATTTTTACAAAAACATCTACAACATTGAGAGTGAATGCTCTTATGGAAGCAGACCCTTTACGTGATCGATCAGTTGACAGATGCCCACAAGTTTAAAAGTTAAGGCTCTTTAATATTACAGGTTCCAAAAATAATTGAACATAATTTTCAGATTGTTCCGTTTCAAAGATCTGCACCTCTTTCGCTTCTTTCCCCCATAAATAACCCCTTGGCAATCACAAGGCTTTCTCTGAAAAACAGCTGAAACTCGGAGCTATCACCATGACAACTTCCGCTGCACCTGCCAATTTTCTCGTTTTTGATTAGAAAAGCGACTCTAAACAACTCGAATCTTTCACTTTCATTCCACTCAACCAGTGAGAGTGAGCGCATTTTCCAATCATGTCTATGGACCTGGACCCCGTTCCAGGTCTTCCTCTCCTGACCACTCTATACTGTAACTCTACGACTGTCAAGAAAAAGACCACCGTCAAATGTGCGTTCCCCGATGAGCTCTACACCAAGAAAGCGTTTTATGGAGGACCAATTGGCGCAGGACTTGGTGCTGTTGAGATAGCAATCCTTGCTGTTTTCGTTTTACTTTGCTTCAAAATCAAGCATGACATCACCAAAACGTTTCTGGCAATCGTCTACATTCCCCTTGGACTGTCTTCAATTTGCAAAGTGGCGTTGGCAATCTACAGTATCTATGAGGGACCTTTTGGATGGTGGTGGTCGGTCCTTCTGATGTTCTTCAACTTCTTGTACACAACCTCAGTTCTCTGTACCAGCATTGGATCTGTCATCTTCCTGGCTGCTCTGATTGTGGTTGCTAGACGACGTGAGAACGTCAACATCTGTGAAACTTGGTAATGGCTCTATAGGTTCCATGTGGTTTTATTCTGCTTTTTTCTGCTTTCAGGATCTCCTACACCGCTGTCCTCTTCTTCTCTGTTCTCCTATCTGGATCCTACCACTTCATCGCATACCAATGGAATCAACTCCCAGCTTCTGGATTGTTCTTCACCTATGTGCTTTGCACTATTGGAATCATTGCTGAACTACTTGTGGTAAATTTGTTTTTGCAATAATTAAGACAAAAATTAATTTCAGTGCCTTTGCGTTGGTTTGATGTGCAAGGCAAAACCAGCTCCCGGTACTACTGTAGTCGTTGTAACTGGTGATCCAGTAGTCGACGACGCAAGAACCAGACTCGCATTTGGCGCTCTCGCTGTGCTTATGATGAACATCCCACAGGGGTTTGAGATCTGTGAGTTTACGAAGTTATTTTAACTCCAAATCTAAATTTCAACCTTCAGATGTGAAGATCACCGAGCTTTTCACACCATTCCTCTGGGACTCCGATGCTCAGAAAAAAGCCTTCTACACAGCTCAATCTATTCAACTTATGAACTTCGACCTCGTCCGTCTGTTCCTGAGTTTGTTTATGCTTGTTCCTCTTTTCATCACCGTCACCGGAAGATTCGCCATCGGACTCTTGATCACCCGCAAGCCCCACCCGACGCCACAAGCTAAGGCTACAGCTACAGTCAACAAAGTGTTCGTCGCCAGCCAGAACCAACCACTTCTAATGGAAACTGGAGAGAAGAAGACGCCACCACCACCAACTCCACCCAACAGACCAGTCGAACATCCAGTCCCTGCTCCGATCTCTGCTCCAATCACTCAACAGCCTCCTCTCGTTCCAATTCCTCATCAGGTCCCAGTCCATCAGCCTCAACATCCACACCAACCTGCTCCACCAATGTATCCTGGAATCGGATTTGCTCCTGGAATGCTACAACTGCCCAATAACATGCAGACTACAATCGTCTACACACCATCAATGGGATATGAGAATGTGAACGGACAGATGCATGTGGAACAGTTCAGATAGATCAATTGGGAGTTTTTTCAAGAGTTTTAATCCTAAATGATCTGAAATGTGTTGAATAAACTTTTTGTTAACAAGACATCTTTATTAAAGAATCTTTATTGAAGAAAGTTGAAAAAATCTATTAGAGCATTGACCAGGAAGTTTTCGAGCTTCAATGTTTCCGAACCTCAAAAAAAGCTGAAAGGATGTTCTAGAGTCCAGATACGAGGAAGATATGACCTAGCTAAAAGTGCTCACATTCCTAGAAAGGTCAAATGCGGAAAAAGGAAATGTACACAAAACGTATGATGATCTTCTTCTTTCTCCGTTTACACTTACTCTTGCTACCTATTGCAACATGCTGGCACCGCCGCTAAGCTAGCGGTTTTCCTCACCTCCGTGTTGATAAACAAAGTGCAGATCGAGAGACAGTGGTCAGTGCCTGGGATGGTGGTACTTCCACCGGCGTACTTCCTTAACGTACTACAAGAAAAACGATGAAGACGGAGGGAGGGAGTGAAATTGAAATCCGGAGATAGTAAAAGAAAGTAAGAGGCACCTAGCGAGGAGGAGCAAACAATGGACGCGCCAGTCGCGGTCGCGGCCATGGCTCTCTCAAGTACAGTGGATTACTGTCCATTTCGCCCTGGGAGGGGTGCTTTCCTTTTCTAGGCGGGCGGAGATAGGCGGTGACGTAACACGCGTTGTCCGCGCGGAGTTCGGAGGGTGGTCAGGGCGTGACCTCACGAAGATCGCTTAAGAACAGTTCCCGCACATATCGCATAGTCTGCGTGGCTGCACGACGAGCCCCGTCCGTGAAGAAATAGATGAGCACGACGTCGGCTCCATTACATGCTTCGTCCTACTCTTCCGGAACAACCGGAGAAGGAGGCGGAGCTCAACAAGCTCTTCAGCTGCAACATTGTGCCTATCATATCGGAGCATCGGTTGGCAGCAGTGGTTCAGGACTGAACAATCATTCAATTAATGTCCCTAATAACAATAATCCAATGGGAATGTCTCCAGCTGGTACTTCATCAGGAAGCAACTTGACCAATGGTCAGCAGAGGTGGGTCCTGATTTTCTAAAATTCATGCATGTTATCTTACTTCCTTCGTTGATTAATACTTTTATTCTGAACTGTTCGTCTTCTAACTCCGCTTCTAAAATTATTATACTTCTGGAATTCAAAACTTCACTATGACAAATCCTCACTTTCTATTTTTAGGTTCACAGTGAAACCTAAACGTCACTTCCTTTCTGAGTCACAACAATAAGTTTGTCTATATTTTGAATACCCTAAGAGCTTTTAAAAATGAAGATTACAGTATCCAGTCTTGTTGATGAATGTAGTTCGGTGTTCTTACAGTGCTAATGTCTTCAGTTTTTCTTAGACCTCGAACTCTCATAGTTACAGTACCTCTCGTAGGTCAAAGGTGTACTGTAGGAATCATACAGTATAGTTAAAAATCAACTGCAGTGTGTAAGAGTGTTGAGTTTTCAGTTTTCATTCTCAAAATATGTCCTTTCCAATCTGTGCTACCTGTAACCTTCGATAGATGGTCACCCTATACGTGCACATTGAGTCCATACTTCTCGGTTCCTGTAAGAGATATCAAAATGTGATAAATTGAAAAAAAGTTTTGATATTATAATAAAAATTTTATCAGATGACCACTTTTTGATATCTGTTACAGAAACCGAGATATATGGGCTCAAAGTGCACGTATCGGTTGGCCAAGAATACTCAAAAATGCTAGATGTTTTTCGTTGTTTGACCCATGGTCTTTAATTAGAAAAATTGGCTCTAGAAAGTTTTCTGATTTTAGAAACTGCAGATATGGTCCCTCATTTAAAACTAATTGCTTCCTTATTGGATATCCTAGATTCCGAAATTGCTAGCTTTAAAATTTCCTCTTCTCTCATAACTAGTACTGTACTTCATTAAAAGTTCACATTCCTCTCCTCACAGATATCTCTTACAACAACTTACACTTTCTTTCGAAACCCCTAACTAGTTCTTAAATAAACATTTCGCTTTTCTTTTCCTTCCCTAAAAGAGTGGAGGGGTCATCATGTTCACAAAAGTTTGACCAACTCCTTTCGCCCCGAAGCATTTTTCTTTCCGCGCGGAACCATCCGCTCCTCGCCGTTCTTTCTCGCGGACACTCTGACGTCACATGTTTGACGAAACGAAATAAGGTGAATATCCCAGAGTCTGTATATATATTCAAAAGTAAATAGGTTATATAAAGAAGTGAACGGGTGAAGCAGCATGTGTGCGCGAAAAGAGAAGCGAAATTTAAATATTGCGCCATAACGATGAGAGTTGAAGAATGGGATCTGAATTAGGCTTTTTGATAGCTTTGGAGAAATTTTTGGAACTTTTAGAAACCGAACTATCATCATAATTTTTAAAATTACAGGTACAGTACCAATGAAAATACCCCAAACACTCTAATAGGAGGCCACCCAGACCGTTCACTTTGAGCACCTCTATCTCTGTTCCCGTTAAAGATATTGACAATTTGTCAAAAGATAAATTATTTATCATAAAAAACCGATATTTTCTTTTAGTTGACAACTTTTTGATATCTTTTACAGGTCGAGTTAATTGATGTCAAATTGGCTGTTTGGGTGGGCTTCTATTAGAGAAAATGCGGGAGGTACAGTAGCATATCTCGCTTGAAGTTTAAAAGTTATCTTAAATATTTGAAACCCTGTTTTTGATTAATGTTCTCTGAAATTACCAGAAAAATAAAAAAATCAAGTTTCTTTCGTAGGATCCCAAACTTGATAGTTTTCAACTGAAACTGAAAAGGTGTTCTCCAAAAATTTTTCCACTTTATTGCATGCTATTCCCCAAAAGCTCTCTTTCTAAAAAGTTTCAAACCACTTATTTTTATTTGGAACATTCTTCACCGGAATACAAAAGTAAACAGTCCGTTCCGATTTTACCATATTCCGTGCGCCAAAAAGAAATTAACACAGTCCATGCAAACATTCATTTTCTAGGTCAACTCGAGGAGCATCGAAACTACGAAGGGATCAAATCAATGCGGAAATTCAGAAAATTCGAGACCTCCTTCCGCTTTCGGATCTTATCAAAGATCGACTTTTCCAATTGCAAGTACTGTCACTGGGATGCATATTCATTAGGAAACATCGATATCAACAAACGATTCTCCAACCTCAGATGCAGTCGATGCAGATGCAATTGACACCTCCGATGCCACGTGGAATTGATATCTGTAAAGCACTTCGAGGTTTCATGTTGATGATCACCAGAAGTGGAAAGATTCTTCATGTATCGGACAACGCCAGCGAGTATTTGGGACATTCTGTAGAAGAGATAATGTGTCAGGGAGATACGATTTATGATTTGGTGGATTTGAAAGATCATGGTGCTGTTCAAGCAGAATTGGCGAGTGGACCGCCTGGCGCAGCCAGTTTTCCAGAAGAGCGAGTATTCATCTGTAGGCTCAATTTGGCGAGAACAGCGAAAAGGCAATTACACTACCACAAGGTGAGATTGTAAGGGAGCTTATGGTTCAAAATGTTACATTTTTCAGTTTGTTATGTTTCAAGGACGTTACATTCAACCTGCGGAATTCTACCAACAACTAAATGCTCAAAATTCGCAACCAGATTGTGATCAACCAGTTTTCTCAGCCTACTGTCAGCCTCTTATCAACCCAGAGAATGCTGAAGGAATGTCAACAGGGAATACACATGTATTTTGTACTCAACATTTTTTGGATATGAAATTCAAAGATTCTGATTTGATGGCAACTCATCATTTGGGTTATTCGAAAGAGCAATTAAAAGGAATGTCTTGGTACGGAATGATTCATCCAAATCATGTTCCTGAGATTGCTCATAAGCATCGATTATGTAAGATGGACACTTTAAGGAACCCTGGATTAATTACGATAATTTTCAGTGTGTCAAGAAAAGGAAGGATCTGTACTGGCCTTGATCAGAATACAATCAGCAAGTGGAGAATGGATTTGGTTGCATACAGTATTTTCAATCCGGCCTAACAACGAACTCAATAGCGATGGAAAACGGCTTCGTCATGTGATTCATTGCTTTCATCAGAAATTAACGTAAGGAAATTTTTAATTTTTTGGATCAAGAGATTTTTGGATCAAGAGATTATAGACAAAAATTATTTCAGTGACCTGGAAGCTGCAACTCTCCAAGCCAACGCCTGGATCTACAGTATGCGGCATACCTATCCTACCGTATTCTCTTGCCAAGATTCTCCTCCACCAACCGAAGAACAACAACAACCATCGAGTCCTCAATCTCCATTACAACCACTGAAGTTGATTGAACAGAAGCCAATTATTGGAATGGCTCCTCCACCTCAAGGATTTCCGACTATGGACTTCAACCAAATAAAAGTGGAGATTCCTATGCGTCCAATCAACTCTCAAATTCCATTTTTCACTCCGGAATCTTCATCTCCGGAAAGCTCTCGTCTCTTCATATCTCTCTACTCTCTCATCAAACTGCATTCCCATTGGATAATCTTGAAGATATTCTTCCTTCAAATGATGTACTTCCCGAGTTGAAAGACGAGGTAGATGAGATCCTTCGACAAGTTGAACAGTCTCCAACTCCTCCTCATTCGATTCCCGCAAATGTGAATCTGGGTCATCGACATTCTATGCCAAATGCATTCGACTCTGCTGAACTTTACAAGTATTTGGGACCCGCTCTTTTCGATGGAGATTTCCATGGAAATCCTCATCATTCTCAATTGCACCACCAACCTCAACCTCCACCACTACATCATCTTCATCATAATATTCAAATGAATCAAATGCAGACAACTCCTCCTATGTCATGCCCTCCTGTGAATTATAACAATCACTCGAACTTCATATTCCATCATCAACATCTCCATCAACATTTTCATCATTCCCAACCTTCCCTTCCTCACCAATTTGACTATTACAACCGAAAAAGAAGTTGGGCTGTATAAAAAAATCAAGTACTCTAGAATCTCTATCTCCTGTTATCTCTGTGATATATTTTTACTTAACTCTATGATTTTATAATACTCTAGATCTTTCCACATATTGTCTTTCATTCAGATCAGTATTCCCCCGGGTAGAAATGTTTAAAAAAGAGCTTTCATTCGTTATGTGTTTCTGTGATTGATAATACTTTTCAATATAATTTTAACTTATAAATTTGCATGACCATATTGGATATAATGAACATTAAAAATATTTACGAATGTTTCAATGAAATTACGAGAACCCCAAAGTGAACACTCCAATAAAAGCCCACCCAAGCCGTCAACTTTAAGCCCATATATCTCGGTTCCTCTGACAGATATTAAAAAGTGGTCAACTGACAAGTTATTTATCTTAAATTCGATAATGTTTTGTCTGTTAAATATTTTTATTTATTTCTTACAGTGACCGAGATATAGAGGCTCGAAGTTGACAGTTTGAGTGACATTCTTATAGAGTGTTTATTGTATTATAACTAAAATCCTTAAATCTATCGATGTTCTGTTTTTCAGCTTCACGATATTGGAAGAATCACGATAACATATTTATAAAATTTTATTTTCATGGCTTTGTTTATTTTTATAGCTTTTATGGCTAAATGATTACAATATGCACTAATTCCAGGGTGGGAAGAGATTCAGATGATTTTGAGTTTCGCAGAAAATGGAAAATTTGGTCAAGCCATGGACAAGCCAAGTAAAATTCATGGGCAAATCTCGGGCAAGCCTTGGTCAACCCTTGGCGATCCTTGGTCAAGCATGGGGCAAGTCAAAGAAAATACCAGTCAGAAAGTTCCAGGCTATCAATTTTCAGTTTCGACAACAATAACTTACCAGGTTTCACTGCACACATCCCACAGTAGCAGTGATACGGTATCACCTTACGATGCCATGACGAAAACATGACGAAGTATAACACAAAACATAACTCCAAAAAACTTCCGGATTCAAAGAATTCTAGAATTGCCGAACTTCAACACCAAGCCGCCCATTTTTTAGCATAATATGATAGTCATTAGTTGCATCATATGTCTCCTGCTCCTCCTATCTCTACTATAAATTCTGATTACCGAAATGCTGATAGTGCCACCAAGAAAATTAGTGTGTTTCACACTTTTTTATGTAGTTGACACAGTTAATTTTATGATTTATTTGGAAAATTGCAGGTAAAACCAACGATGAAGATGTTTGTTGGTTTTCTGGCTATTTTGACCGTGGTCTCTGCAGAAGTCCATCAATTCAATATTGGGTGAGTCCGCGAAAACACTGAAAAATCCATACAATTACATTTTTCAGATACCGACCAAACCTTCGTCAGCGTCTTAACGCTGAGGGAAAGTTGGCAGAGTATGAGAAGGAACGTAATGAGTTGCTCACGAAGAAAAGCCTTCAACTAGCTCAATCGTCTTCTCCAATTATTGATTATGAAGATATGGCCTACATGGTTCAGATCAGTATGGGAACTCCAGCTCAGAACTTTGTGCTCTTCATTGATTCTGGTTCTTCCAACTTGTGGGTCCCAGATATCACTTGTGCAGCTGGAAAGGATGCCACTTGTGGAAGTTACTGTAAATCTGTGAGCCTAATTTTCCTATCTATTGAATTGAAAGCCCGTTTCAGACCCCGTACGACGCTTGCCTCACTTTCTGTCAAGAGGAGTGCTGCACCAAGACTGTTGCTGGAGCTAAAGTTCTTTCGTAAGATCGCAAGATCTCCGATTCCAAAATAAAAAAGATGTTGTTTCAGAACTGCTGATGCTTGTCAATCCAAACATCGTTTCAACTCGACTCTCTCGTCTACTTATGTAACCAACGGTCAAAAATTTGATATGACTTACAACACTGGAGAGGTTAAAGGATTCTTCGGAGTTGATACTTTCTGTGTAAGCAACCATTCGAAAAAAGTTTGCTCTACTGACTAAAAATAAACGTTTTCAGTTCACAAATACCAGTGTCTGTGCCACTGGTCAAGTATTCGGACAAGCCACCACTATTGGAGAAGCATTCGGAAAGCAACCAGAAGACGGAATCATTGGACTCGGATGGCCAGCACTTGCGGTCAACCAACAGACTCCACCACTATTTAATTTGATGAACCAAGGAAAACTTGATCAACCATACTTTGTCGTATATCTTGCACAAATCGGTCCAACATCTCAAATCAATGGAGGAGCATTCACCGTTGGAGGACTTGACACCACTCATTGCAACGCCAATGTCGACTGGGTCCCATTGACAACTCAAACTTTCTGGCAATTCAAACTTTCTGGGTAAGTGTAAGCTGATCCAATTGGTTTCTTGATTAATTTTTTTATAGAGTCTCTTCTGGATCATACTCACAGAACCCGACAGCTGGATGGCAAGCTGCTGCTGACACTGCTGCCTCTTTCATCGGAGCTCCAAAGAGTGTCGTCACTAGTTTGGCCAAGACGTAAGAAATTTATAATCTTAGCTGAAGTCAAGGCATGTTGAGCGCGGATATCTCGTTAAATTTTCTTCGAAAGCGAAAAAGCGAACTACCGTATTCTTTGAGCCTGCTTTAAATACTATGTTCCTTTTTTTCTACAATTGTCACTTCTTTGTCGATGTAAACCAGAAAGCTTAAAATGATGGAAATAATCGAAAAACACGGTGAAAAGCATCGAAAAATTGATAGAATTGGAAAATGATAATTGAAATAGCTCAAAAGATACGGTAGTTCACTCTTGAGCCTCTACATTCATTGATTTCAGACAAGAATTATAGTATGATTTAGTTCAATAAGAACTTTTCTTTTCAGTGTTGGTGCTACCTATGTCCCTGGAACCGGAGCATTCTTCATTGATTGTGACGCTGTTGTCCCTGATATCGTATTCACCATCAACGGAAAGACATATAATATGCCATCCACTTCGTTCGTTGTCTCTGCTGGACCAGGTCCATGCATGTTTGCTTTCTACGAGTTGACTGCTGGAGGATTCTACCCAGCTTGGATGCTGGGACCACCATTCATGCGTGCCTATTGTCATGTGCACGATATGCAGAATGGAAAGCTTGGATTGGCAAAGGTGCTGTAATCATGAATCTCAATAAAATTTTTGTACATCTAATAATTTAAACAATAAATTTTCCCAAGATTTCTTGGAACCTCAATTTATTAAAAACATGTAAATGTTCGTTTCGAAAAAAAAACTGTTCTCGAAATTATGATGTAAGTTGTACTGCGAGATTAGAATAATGGAGAGAGACAGGGCAGGGAATACAGGTACATATGTACAAAGTGCATTGAGACGGGGAATGAGAAAGAAAGTCAACAAACATTTGGAAAGAGAGAAAAAAAAACAAACTTGATAATTTAAAATTTGAAGAACGAGAGAGATAAGTGAAAACGATTTGGACAACAGAGAGAAAAATGATACAGATTTTAAGATAAAAACGAATTGATTCACTTTGAATCATCAATTGGAGACGTTCGATAGAACGTGTGTGATGTGGCCGCTCTCACCAGCCAAGCACTTGAGGCAGACTTTCTGCACCGGTGTGTACTTTTGCTTCTTTTCTGAAAAAGAGGTGATGTCAATTATAATGAGGAAGACGTATGAGATGCTCACCAAGATTTGGATCTTGAGGCTTAACCGTGTAAACGTTCGTCTTATCTGTCAGATGCTGCTGAGCGGCAACACTTTCGGAAGCGACACGCTTACGGCTGAACTGCGACAGAAGACGGTCGAACATCTGGAAGAAAAATTCGAATTTCAAAATGCAGAGACAAGAAAGCGGCACAACAGATGGCAACATTAAGAAATGAAAAAAAAATTGAAAGTGATAAGGAAAAGATATTGAAGGAGGCGTGCATGGTGATAACGCCTGAAGAGAGGGAGCGTTTGGTATCAAAAAACATTTGCGAGACTTTTATACTTGTGAGCTGAAAGTTTCAGCCTGAAAACTCAGAGGCGGGGCTTTTAGCAACCATCACAAATAGATAATATTAAAAGAACACCATAGAAATCTGAAGGAAAAAAAACAATCACAACTGAATGAAAAATGAACCGAAAGTACAGACACTATCACAATCTGAAATGGGAACTTTAAAAACAATGGAGACACATGACAAAGTATTAGTAAGATTACAAGATCAAATGTCTATTATGGCAAAATGCACGTAATTTTGAGCTCATAATGATAAGATATGGTTCGCATGATAAGGTACAAAAATATACAAATGACTAGAGCTCCCGATGAATGATGATCTTCTCTTCGAGGTACTTTTCCAGTTTTCGCGCTTTTCGATTCAGCTTCTCATGTTTGATGCTCAATTCCAAGTTTTCGTAGACTTGAGTTTTGCTTTTTCCACGTTCTTCGGCATCCTCTTGGAGACGAGATACTTCTTCCTGAAACAAAATGTATATTGCATTCTTCTCATTGTTTTGAGCACATTCTTTATCAGTTTGTTATGAAAAAGAACAAATAATTTGATCTGTTTTTTTTTCGTTTTATTTGTTTATTTTGTTGCCATGTTCCTTGTGAAACCAGCGACGTCAACAACACACTTCAATCTAAGAATGAGCAGAATGCAAACCTTGTGAAACTCAATTTTCTTCAATTGGCTCTCAAAATGGGATAATTCGTCTTTCAGCACATTCAACTCGTGTTGAGACAGCTTCTCATTCTCCTGTGCCAATTTCCATAATCTCTTGACACGCGGCTCACTGAATGGAGAGTATTCTTCACTTGTCACTCTTCGATGAACCTCATCGAGGTGATCGTTGTATTCTCTATTTGCCGCTTTCAACTTTTTAGTTTTCTCTCCAATATTCTCAATATCGTGATGAATGGAATTTTCATGGGGAACTTTCTTGAAATCTTCAAGTTGATCTTCATAAATTCTCATTTTTCTTTCAACTTCCTTCAGCTCTCCATGAAGAGAATGAAGATCTTTCTGAGAGAATTTTCCGGTTTGTGCTTGGCTCCAAAGTTTTTGCAGGTTTTGGTCGGTGAACTTGTCACTGGGAAGTGGCTCATTATCATCAGTTTGTTGCATTAGATTCTTATGCTTATATTTCTGAAAATAGAATTTTTAAATTACTTTAAATTTTAAAATTATGAAACCTTACCTCTTTGAAAGCCATGACTGCTTTCTCTAATCCATACTTCTCGAGAATCGTTGCCAATTTATCATCAATTTTGTCGAGTTCTTTGGTTCCTTGAGCTCCTTGACGATTTGACTTCGATGCCAAGTAGATCGCGTCATATCCGGAAAGCTCTTTCTGGAAAAATTTTTTTTTTTCAAAAAAAAAACTGGGTGATTTTGCCTCAAGTCTTGCTAAATTTTGTCTGTCTGTGACATGCTGCAAAGCTTTCTCGTAAATGAAGTTGATCCGTTCCGTTCGGTACGGCGATTTTTTATTTTCCACACACCCTGTGATGAATAGGAGGAGAACAAGAGTGAGAAGTCGGTACATCTGAAATTCAAATTTCGGCAAAGTTAAATTTTTCTCGAGTTCAATAAGTGGATATTCAAGGAGGTGTACTGTAAATTAGGATAGAAACTGAAAAAAAACAAAGATTCAAACAAAAAAGAGTTAAATGCAAACGCGCTCCATTGACACGCATTAGAGAGCACTCTGTGGAGGTGACGCAGAGACAGTGGAGGTTAGAGAACAGCGGAACAAGGAGGCCTCTTTACGACAATAAATCACGATTCGGAGATTGATTTGTGATAAACAACAACTTGGTATTAGAGTGAAGAATGAAAATCAAGAAAGGAATTAACCTAAAAAGTTGTCTACAAGGTGTTTAACAGTTTTCATTTCAGAAAAGTTGACCTTGGTATTATCAGAAGATTGATGAAATGGTTATGATGAAAGGTGATCTCAAAATATAATTATTTAGGTCAATCTAAATACATCCCCAATCTCGTTAGATTGAATCTGAATAGGTATTCCCGTTGTTTGTTTTCGTTTGTAGTTTCCTCAACCCCTAACGCCTACAGTACTGACCCCTTCGAGCAAAATGAAATTCGAAATGTGCTCAATGAGCTGTTGTTGATTGTCTTTCTATTTGCGTCATCATCTCATATCAAAATTCCAAAGCACAGAAGACACAAACGAAGCAACACAGTTGAATAGAAAATTAGATTTCGTCGCTAGAGGACAATCGAGCAAAGAGTTGCGTGTGCAATGAATATCCGCTGAAATCAAAGCGAAAAAGCTCGAAAAGCGAAGGAAGACAATCGAATCTTCATCGTCATTTTCCCCTCGATGAGTGGACAAGGAGACGAAGACGTTGACGTCTTCTGTTGCTTCTTCAGTTAGTTATTCTTCTGCTTCTTTTTGGTTACAAAAAAGAAAGAAAGAATGAGACAGAACATGTTAGTCCTTTCACTGGTCATTCTGATTATTAAAACTGTTATTGTGACTACGATAACCTGTTTCAACTGTGAGAGTGATTTTCAGGGCGCTTTACGGTAAATTTTGTTTCTTCTATTGTTCTGGTACAAAAAATCGGAGTTGTGGAAGAGAAACGCCGGTGGCCGTGGCTGAAGGTCCAGCAACTACTGTAACCTGGAAATATGTTTGTGTTCCGGATTTCTTATCTCGATTTTTGTTCATTTTCAGTCAATTTTTTCACTATCAAACAATTTTATTCTTCGACTTTTCTGGAGGCAAATACCGTATTTCCTCTAATGGAACCCCACCCAAGCGGTCAACTTTAAAGTCCGTTATCACGATTCCTTTGAGAGATATCAAAAATATGTCAACTGATATCTCTTATAGGAATTGAAATAATTTATCTCGAAGTTGACAGTTTTGGTGGGCTTCTATTAGAGGAGATACGGTAACAGATAAACTGGAAAAATTCAGTAAAAAACGAGAAAAAAAGCCCTGAAAATACGAAAAGTTTTACTGTAGTTGTCGTTGTGGAATCTTCGGCCACCAGAATTTCTCTTCCACAGCTTCCATTTTTTGTATCAGAATAATGTCCAAAAAATGTTCATGAAATTCAGCCAATAGATGGCTCAAAATCTGAAAATAACAATTTTCAGAGTCAAAGCTTCTATCAGAATTATTGTTTATTGTTTTCTTCAAAAGTATAGGTTATGATTTCCAAAAAACAATTATTCAGGTGTCAACAGCCATGTGAAGGTTCCCAATGTGTAGTATGGAAATGGAATTCGCGATCAGAACTCGCAATTAAGCAAGGATGCCTTCAAGGAGTTGACAAGCAGTGGACAGCTAAAGTTGGATGTCGTACCAACCACTTGGGTGCTTCTCTTTGCATTTGCGAGTGAGCTCTACAAAGTGATTCTGAAAACATTTTCCTCGCATTTCAGCGATGGTCCCCTTTGTAATCGGGTAGAACGAGCGGAACAAACCACTCGTCCACTTCCACAGATACGATTACCAGCTGTCGAATGCCAGAGCAAGGTGATCAGTACAGGATTTGTGGGACCTCGGCGAGAAAAAATATGCACTTCCAACTATTGTCATGTCACAAAAACCGAAACTTTTGCGGAGGAGAAAAACGAGAACACTGATATTTTGAGTGTCTCGAATTGTGGAGATTTACCAGGTTGGCTACTAATAGCAGATGGTTTTTTTCAATTCAAAAATATTGTAGAATTCGATTTCGATGTTCGTCTGAAAAACTCCATCGGCTTCCCGGGTCTCTATTCAAATGGTTGCTATCGTATCCAAGTGGAAAAACGGTCAGCAATGGTAGACTGCGTTTGTTCAAAGAACAAATGCAATGAAGTGATTCCGGAAATAGAGACAGGGCATGTTAGATGCTACATGGGGAAGGATTTCAGAAATACCAGTCAGGCACGTAAAAAAACACATACAGGTCAATAAGATAGGTATACAAAAACGTATTTTTCAGTTGATTTTCGGTAATTTTGATCACTTTCAAGAGCCTGGAGATCGGCTGTCAAATTTCCGATCACTTTGAAAAATTTTGGAGGACACCCTCAAAAATTTTTTTAAGTGATCGGAAATTTGACAGCTGAGTCCCATACTCTTGAAAATAGTCAAAACAAGGATCACAGGTAGAGCAATTCGAACAATACTGAAAATCTGAAGAAAAAAAAATTTAACACACATTCTCTGAGATTTTCGAGCAACCCACTGTACAAAAAAAATCAAACTGTTTAAAATGTGTTGGTATTACATACAGTTAGTACACTTGAACTTCTAAAAATTTTGAGGATAGTTTTGATTGGCTCCGTCCACTTTGGTCCGATCTGCAAAACTCGCGGGTCAGAAAATAAATTTTTTTATTTTTTGAGATAGAAACAAAATCTCTTTTGGAGTAAACATATTTTGTTATTTTAAGCATTTTTTATGCTGAGACCAAAAAAGTAGAGTCTCATCTTCCGATGGAAAACTTCAATTTTCGTGTTTTTTGTATTTTTTCACAGTTTTTTCAAGTTTTCGTCATTATGGGACTGCGTGGGAATGGATTTTTTTGCAGATTCAAAATTCTCATAAAATTTTACTATAGGAACTTTTGAAAAATCAGCAAATTTGTAGGACTAAAATAACGAATTTCGCTAAAATGTCGATTTTTTTGACTGCTGAAAAATTTCGATATTTTTTCTTGGTTTTTAGTTTTCTTGAAGTTCTGTTTTCTTTGTGAATTTGAACATAATTGATAAGAATACATAGTTCAAAAGCAATACCGGTACACGTATCGCTTTATTTTGCGATTTGTCAATGAGAACCACTGAAAAATCGAAATTTGGGTTCCGATGACTATAACTTTTTTTAGAGAAGAGAGAGTTTTGAAATGTTCTGGAGAAAGACGAATATACATATGAACAATCTAAAAACCACAAAATTCCGCTTTTAAGTTTAAGTCCAAAAAATTTTTAGAACATTTTATGAACTCAGCCTCCTAAAAAAGTGGAACCTTTTTTCAAAGTTTTCTAGCATGTGAAGTTTTGTTTTCCGGAAAATGCTTGATGTGTGAAATTGTTTGTATAGACTGATTACTAAAAAAAATTAGGTCCTATACAGCTGAAGGCACAAATATGTGATTCAGCAACAGTCAAAATGACACAAACCTCTCTCTTGAATAATTTTTTCCTACACCAAATTTTTCTCAATCATTTGTCTCGAATTGATTATTTTGTGCATTTTAATGATATTTTTGATTAATTTCCATTTTATTTCATCTCAAAACATCAACTGGCTCTAGTTCCCCTCATGCGTCTCCATTTCAGCAAATCCTGACTGAAGTTTGTGCTCAGAACTCGAGTATACACGACAAAACATAATTATTTACCGTTATCAATCAAAAAATTAAATAATTATCCCACGATCATAAAAAAATTTGGACTAGGAAAAAATTATTCAAGAGAGAAGTTTGTGTCATTTTGACTGTTGCTGAATCCCATATTTGGGCCTTCAGCTGTATGGGACCTACATTTTTTTAGTAATCAGTCTATATAAACAATTTCAAATATTAAGAATTTTCCGGAAAACAAAACTTCACATGCTAGAAAACTTTGAAAAAAGGTTCCACTTTTTTAGGAGGCTGAGTTCATAAAATGTTCCAAAAAAAATTTTTCGACTTCAACTCAAAAGCGAATTTTGTGGTTTTTAGATTGCTCATATGTGTATTCGTCTTTCTCCAGAACATTTCAAAACTCTAACTCATCTCTAAAAAAAAGTTATAGTCATCGGAACCCAAATTTCGATTTTTCAGTGGTTCTCATTGACAAATCGCAAAATAAAGCGATACGTGTACCGGTATTGCTTTTGAACTATGTATTCTTATCAATTATGTTCAAATTCACAAAGAAAACAGAACTTCAAGAAAACTAAAAACCAAGAAAAAATATAGAAATTTTTCAGCAGTCAACATTTTAGCGAAATTCGTTATTTTGTTCCTACAAATTTGCTGATTTTTTGAAAGTTCCTATAGTAAAATTTTATGAGAATTTTGAATCTGCAAAAAATCCATTCACACGCAGTCCCATAATGACAAAAACTTGAAAAAACTGTGAAAAAATACAAAAACTTGTAAAATTCCGGGCCGGGCCGGGCCGGGCCGGGCCTGAAGAAAATTTCAAGGCCCGGGCCCGGCAGCAAAAATTTTGTCATTTTGAACCGAATTTTGAGCTCTCAATACAATTTTCTATATTTTTTTTGTGCTTTTTGGATTGTTTGTCTGTTTGATCAAAAACTATCAAAAAAAAACTCGAAAAAAAAATTTTTGATCGAAAAAAATCACGTAATGGTCCCCCCTTATGTGTTTTTTGAAATGTTCAAAACTTGTGGAATGACAGGCCCGCCGGGCCGGGCCGGGCCTCCGAAATTCGGCAAAAAGCCCGGCCCGGCCCGTTACAAGTATGCAAAAAACACGAAAATTGAAGTTTTCCATCGGAGGATGAGACTCTACTTTTTTGGTCTCAACATAAAAAATGCTTAAAATAACAAAATATGTTCACTCTGAAAGAGATTTCGTTTCTATCTCGAAAAAGGCATACAGTTACAGTAATCAAAGCTACAATATCCCGAGCTGTAGATAAAAGCTACTGTAAGATGGTGTTTTATGGTCGAATTTCAACTTAAAAATATGTTTTTCTCATATATTATTGACCGGTACTGTACATCCCAATTCAAACCAAAATTCAATTTCAGATAGACTCCCATGAATTCTGTGACGGTGATTTTTGTCTGATTCAAGATGCTCATGGACGAGTATCAAAAGGATGCATTTCGTTGAATGAGAGAAATAGTTGGAGTCATTTGAAAAGCGGACATCGTAGGATCCTTGGAGTGGAGCAGTGGTTATGCCAGGCCCATTTGTGTAACTTCGATACCGAGCGAGCTATGAAATCAGTGAGAAGTATGCGAGCAGGGAAAACCAATTCTGGAAACGTCTGGAATCTAATGGTCACATTCATAATTATGTTGTTAGCTTCTTCTTTTTAGTTGTTCTTTTTATCGGTGAATACACCTGGGTTCAAGGCAACGGGTTAGAAATCGCGCCTCAGTAAACGTGAGATTTTAGAAAAAATTCGCTGCTGAATTATTTGGTTGAGGATCAAACTTTTAAACGTTGGGCGAAAAAACCACGCGTTGCAACTCGTTGATTAAAATTAATTAGGTCAAATCCACGTCAACGAAATTATAAAATTTCTTCTGACCTAAAAGTTATTTGGGGCGCATGTTTTGATCCGTTGCCTTGAACACAAGTATGAATAAAGTTTTATAGAATAAAGTTTTAAAATCAAAACTTTGAAAATTTCGGTTCCTTTTTATTGGGTTGAATAACAATTGGACTGTTCGCTGCTTGGAAGACCCCTCGAGTCCTATAGATCAGGGCCTGAAATTTAAACTCATTAATAACGAAATGAAATTATAAAACACCTCACCGATCGTATATGAACATCTAGAGTAATAGATGTCAAAAGTGGCCAGTACGCTGTTAGAAACACATTTGATAATGATAGAATTGGATCAGAAGACAAAAAGCTCAAGCATATCCAGAAGCAGTGTAGTAGATCAAAAATGGCATAAAAGAACACAGAGCAAATGGTTTCCTTGGATGAATCATCCAGCTCTTCTTCAAGATTTTCTTCTGATGAAGTCGGTTTTTGGAATAGTCGTCTGTAGGAGAGATTCACTAGAGATACAGTATGACAGATAATAGTTGGAACTATAACGAGAGCCACGAGATAGATATAAGCGATGACTTCAAAGTACTGCAGCTTCCAGTTCAGCTGAGATGGATTGAATCGACGAATTCTGAATTTGGATGAATATGTTCTAATTCAAATTCAAAAACTCACGTTGTATGTGCACAAATATTAACTGTGAAAAAGAAAGAGACACAGAAAACGAAAACCATTGTCCCAAAGATTACATTGTCCAGGAATATTAACTTTCTACAACTTCGAGTTAGATTCATTTAAGAAATTGAATTCCTACCCTATCCTTGGTGAGATACTTTTCAAACTTCTGTGGATTCCATTTATCATCATGAAAATGAACGCAAAAGTTTGGAATAAAACCAAGAAAAATGCAGGGACATTTATCATAACTGGGTTCATGAAATATGGTTGGTTGACAGCTGAAATTTATTGGAATCCATTCAACTTGAAATTTAGAACTTACCAATCATAGCTGGTACTGGAACAAAGACAACAAAAAGTTGAATGATGCATGCTATGAATTGAGCCGAAAGGATAAGAGTGGTTGGTCGAGAAATGAAATTGGAGATTTCAGGAAGAATTGATATGAGAACAAGGTGGAATGCAATTCCAGTGAATCCTAGAATAGAATAAATTTTTGGAGAATGTAGGCCTTTAATCCACAAAATTTTTTTGTATTTAGCAATTGTTGAAAACTAAATATTGCAACACTCAAATACAGGTTTGGCGCAGAGATACCCGGACGGATAGAAATGGGTATGTTTTTAGTTATCAATATCTTGGAAGCACGAAAATTAGTAGAAACATAGTTTATGTTTGATTCAGAACTACTGAATTTTTCCAAACGATTCCTCCGGTCTAGGTTTTGTTATGATTGTCCAAAGATGAACGGCGTAATGTTTGTTGCATGTCGTTGTAATATTCAAGAAAGGAAGCAACTTTGACAAGCGATAACTCTGCTCGATATTAATTAAATTATTCGAAACTTTCCCAGTTCACAGGTGAACTATTTGAATTTTTCTACTCCAAATTTGAACTCAGCGCAACGCTTTACTCAAATTTGATACAAGTACAAACTTGTGTCCGGGTAATTATGCGCCACCCCGTAGAGCCGTCAACGTTGAGCCAATCTATCTCATTTCCTGTATATGATATCAAAAAGTAGTCAACTGACAAAATGTTTATCTAATGCCAGAAATATTTTGTCAGTAAACCACTTTCAGATACCTTCCACATGAACCGAGATAAATGGGCTCAAAATTGACGGTTTGGGAGGGACCCTTTCAGATGGTTTACGGTATATTGGTTCCAGATGGAAATAATCTAGTCATATTGAAAATACATTTCCCCAAAATAATAAAAACAATTTCAACATACCAAGAACAAAATAGAGTGTTCCAATGGTATCTCTCCAAAAGTTTTCCCGTATCCAAAGGGCATCTTCGAAGTAGAGCATCTCTAGACAAGCCTAGACCGAATCCAGACAAAAAGAAAGAATTTATGAGGTGAGAAAACAAAGTGAGGTTTATTTTGAAAGCAATTAAGTTTGATCTAGTGGCTAGGAAAGCCGCTGAAAAATGAAATTTGACAGGTTCGTTTCGGGAGACATTGAGCAATTTGAGGAGACTCCAGCACTGCCCCCTTGATTGATGATAATCCGACGAGGGTGTGATAAGTGAAAAGTGACAAAAACATGTTCGAGAAGGAAGCCAGTTGGCACAAGACGAAAAGAACAAAAAGTTGAAAAATGTGTGGAGTTTTGCGGGGAAGGAGAAACGGGGAGGAAAGAACACATCTGGAGATAATTTGGAAGAAAAAAGAAAGTGAAGATTTATGATGATGTTTGACTAGAAGATGAGCTTGAAGATAGAGGAGGAGAAAGAGAATAGGTCGGACGCCATCTTTTAGGCATTGAGGCAATTGTTCCGTTTCCAAATATCCACTGAAAGAAAGTTTTGAATGAGAGAGGGGTTGTAGCATACATGTTCTGTCATAGTTTTTTTGAGAACCAATGTTTTTAAATCACTTAGATTAAACACAATAGAACTCGGCAAGTACTTCAAAATGATATTATTTGGAACACTGTATCTTGTTTATAAACAAAGTTACAAACAAAATACCGACCTGGCCCGAATCATACACTTTATAGCTTGTAACTTTGCTCATTGACAATATACTGTTTTCCAAATAATATCATTTTGTAGTACTTGTCTAGTTCTATCATATCTAATTTAGTCGGTTCAAAAATATTGATTCTGAAAGAGACTATGACAGGTCCTGCGAAGGCCCGCCAGGGGCCCGTTCACAAGTCTGATTTGTAGAAAATGACAAACCTTGCAAGTGGAAAGTTTTGGAGGATTTACAGCTACGCCAGCACTTGATTTCTTTTCAGCTGGAATCACAGCTTCCGCAAAAAGCAAAACCACAATCAAAGTCAACATAACTGAAAGTGACAATTTCTCTTTTTCGCTTCATTCATTTTCTCCCAGATGTACTAAAATATCTAGAAGATACCATCTTCCAAAAACCGCATCCAATGAAGATACGCAGAGGAATGGATTCAGACCGGTATGATTTGTATTAGCATATCAAGTCTTTCTTCTTGTGAAAAAAGTGAAATCCTTCTGTTTCTCTTTTTTTAATGCAACGTTTTCCTTTTATTAATGGAATGACAAGATTGGTGGTGACAAGTGTGAGAAATTCGATAATCGCAGTTTACAGGAAAGTCGATAAGTGATTAAAGATAAGCTATATACATAATGAATACCATAATTTATCTTTTCCGTTTCATAATATCTTTAAAAACGGTCGAGAGAAGTTCAGCCATCATCTGGGTGTCGATGGCAATACACCGGTAGACACGGTATAGTGATTTGTCCCGTTTTCCAAGAGCCGCCACTGCCAAATTCTCCATAAAATCGAGAGCATCGTCTTGATCTCCGCCTGAAAACATATCAAAATAAATACAAAAAAAATGAAAAAAGAATGGGCCGAACCGGGGATTGAACCCGGGACCTCTCGCACCCAAAGCGAGAATCATACCACTAGACCATTCGGCCACATTTTCCTTGCGTTCTTCTATCAATCAAGGATGTTCTTTTCACCTTATCACTATCTATCTCACCTGGGAAGTCTTTCCTGTAGTTTGAAAGAGGAATGACATCAAGTTTCTCGCAGAATACATCAATTTCGTTGAGGAACAAATATATGGGTGTGGTTGCGAACATTGGTTCCTCACTTATTGTTTCAAGCAACTTTAGAGCGTCATCCAAACGATTCTGAAGCTGAGGAAGGTTGTAGAATCTTCCACTGGGTATCTTACCGTAACCATATCCTCATTCATTTTTTGGTCGTACTCCGAAATGGCCAAACAAAAGAATATCGCATCGATTCCCTCGTATTGTGTGGCCCATTTCCGCCTATCAATTTTCTGTCCCCCGATGTCAAATAATCTGAATTCGCCTTTCATTTCTAAAGCAATCGAGGAACATTACTCACTGGAACGACTGATTGCTTGCAGTGAAAATGACGTTCTGAACTCCACAAGTCGGCACATAAGCCATTATGAGATCTCTATCAGACGGCTTATAGTCAAGAGTATTAATCTTGTCCAGGTTGTTCAAGAAACTGCAAGTAATCTTTTGAGGGCGGAGATTATACTTTGTAAAGGTCACAAGATCAAAACAAAAAAGCTCACTATGCAGCAGAATCATTCAAATTGAACTGACTCCTTCGCGCATATAGAGATTGCATCGACTTATCCGCCCAAATGCACTTTATTTTTTCTGCGAGTTCCTTTGAAAAAATTCCATAGTGATTTTCTTCATCAGCTATAATTGATTGAGAGCGGCCCTGAAACAAAAATTCCAGATTTGAAGAATTCAAAATACCGTAAACACCCTAATACAAGGCCACCCAAACCGCCAACTTTGACTTTATATATCTCGGTTCCTTTAAAAGATATCAAAAAGTAGTCAACTGATAGTGAGAAATTACTGTTCATATTATGATAAAGATTTTTTTCTGTTGACTACTTTTCTATATCTTTCACAGAAACCGAGAAATATGGGCTCAAATTGGTTTTATGCCTATTTTACCATATTAATCGGGTCAGCAAACCCGATATCCGACATTTTCATCGCTCGACACAGAGATTTGATGCATTTGAAGATGTTATGATAAATGAATGCTCGTCGATGAAAATACTCTGACTCGGTAAAATGTTGTTTATAGAGCAGACGAACTTGTTCCAGGACCGTTGTTTTTCCACTTTCGGCGGATCCTGAAGATGAATAGATAGATGGGTTGAAAGGAGAAAAAAAAGAAGAATAGGATGTTACCAAGAAGAAGGAGTCTGATATGGCTGTACGATTGATCGCTGGATTTCTGAGAAGCTGGAGTGTTCGAACGGGATGCACGGACTTCTGGCACTTGGAGCTAGAAAAATTAATTTCATTTCTAGAACTTATGATACTGTAAAAATCTGTAATAGAACGACACCCTAACTTTAACTTTGAGAAATATTATCTCGGTTCCTGTCAGAGATTTAGAAAAGTTTTCAACAGATAAATTGTTAATCGTAATACCGCAAACATTTTATCAGTTGACACATTTTCGATATCTCGCAAAAGAGCCAAGAAAATTTAGCTCAAACTTGATAGTGTTAGGGCTCTTCCACTAAAGATTTTAATATAACTCACCATAATCTGTGGAGAGATAGATGGTGGTGGAACTGGTGTCAGATCCTTCCTCTCCACGACTTCCTCTGCTGCAGGTTCTTGTTGTTCGATTACAGGCTCTAATTTGGTCCCGTTCCCATTCGCCTGTGCTTCTGGAGGTGTCTTATTATCAGCATTTCCAGCATCGCCAATCTGAAACCACAAAAATTAATCTTCAAGTCAAAAAAATGTACACATACTTTGTTCAGAGAAGAAGAATTACAACCCATTGCTCACCACATCTCTGTTACCCTTCGAATTTATTATCTAGACATTTTTTACTTTGGAAAAAAAGAAAAAAAGAAAGTGATTTCAGAATAAGAGATTCCAAAGCTGATGAATAGGAACACAATTCTATTTTTTTTATGATTCTCGTTTTCTCTTTCAAATGGAGAGAAGAAAAAAAGAAGAAGAAGAGAAAAGGAATATAATACCTGGGCAATTGGATCAAATCCACTTATTTTGTGGCTCGACGAGTCTCAGTCGTTTCTTAAGAAAAGGTGAGAGTCGGGGAATACGAAAAGGAGAAGAGGATTGAAAAAGAAACCAATTGGATCAAGGCTCATGGGAAAAGAAACAAAAATATTCAGTGATTTTCGAAAATTTGAACAATGAAAGTTTCACATGCCAAATTTATGCATACTTGACTGGTTGCAAAAAATTTACGAACTAGGTTATTGACGCATTTTATCAAAATTAGTCTTGATGATAAATTCTAAATCGTCAAGTAAAATGTGGGGTCTTTACATCACGAAAGTTTGATTCAAAATACCTAAGAGAGTGCCACCCAAACTTTCAACTTTGAGACTATTTATCTCGGTTCCAGTAGAAGATTTCTAAAAATGATCAACAAACGAAACATTTTCAATATTATGATAAACATTTTATCAGTTGACAGGTATCTGATATCTTTGACAGTGAATGAGATATATAGGCTCAAAGTTGACGGTTTAGGTGCTTTTCTATTAGAGCGTTTACGGTAACTCAATCCTTTGATCATCGACAAGGGACGAAGGAGAAATATAAATTGCTCGATGTCTGGTACATGACGAATTGAGAAAGACTGAATCAAATAAGGTCTGAAAAGTTTGCAGCTGCGGAAAAAAACGAGTGAAACATTTTTCAGACGATCATAACTGATATAGTCATTCGAGTGGAATTTTGAATTTTCTTCTTTTGCAAGTCTAAAGAATTAGCATTATTTCAAGATAATTAACTTTATACTCCTGAAGACCCTATTGGCTTTTGATTTTCAATTGAGTTAGAAGAAAACGAAAAAGAATCAAAGCAACTTTTCTTCAAGTTTCTTCAAAACAATTATAATTTGAAATGTGTTCTGACTGACGACATACTCATAAACCTGAAATTTCTGGTTAAAATTATAAGTTTCAAAAAGTGACTAATTATGGTTTAAAAAAATCAGAGCTGTGTAAGAGAAATGCCGGTGGCCGGGGCCGAGGATCCCACAACTACCGTAACCTGAAAATGTGATTATTTTTCTGATTTTTCAGGCAATTTTTCACTATCAAAATTTGTGTTTTCCGACTTGTACTTTACGGTAGTTTTTGCTTTTGGACCTTCGGCCACGACCACCGACGTTGCTCTTCCACACTTTCGATTTTCTTGAACTACAATGATACAAAAAAAAAGGATTTTAAGAAAATTTATTTTTAAGAATCTTCTAGAACCTCCCTGAGAAGAATAAGAAAAAAGGGAATAACAAGATTAGAACTGAAATCCACTGTTCCTCCCAAAGAATTTGTAGCGGATTATCTTCACCGGGTATACGGTAGCTTGCACACTATACGAAAATGAGTCACCTTCTTCCTTCTTCCTCTCCAAAACTAGAAAACGAGGAAATATAAGGAACTATTGAAGAAAGAATGACGTATCAAACTATTCAATTAGCTAACTTTCAATCGTAGATGTTTTGATTGGAAAAAATATGGGTTGAACATAGTAAGAGTATGAGTTGAAAAAAAAATGAAAAAAAAAGTGAAAAAGCCAAGGCACCCCTCGCTTCTCCATAAATCAATGTGGCTCGTGAGAAGAAAGAAAACGAGATTAGATGTCGTCGTTTTCTTCGGGAATTGGAAGAGAAAAGGTGAGAGAGAGAGGGAGAGAATAAGGAAGAAAGTAAAAAGTTAAGACTGCAAAATCCATAAATTTCTGATATTTTTTCAAAAATCCAAAAGTCGACAAGATGAAAAAAAAATCGCTGGAAAACCCAAAACCGAACGTCATGTGATATTGGCACCTGCCATCACATAAAAGAAAACATACCAACCTGAAAACCAATTCAGAAACATCTGCTCTTATAAAATCTTCCAGGTTAGTCAGGAATGATGGAAGATAAACGAACAAAATGCTATCCCTAGGCTAGAGATTCTCCAGTTTCCTGGAATCATAGACTCCGCCCATTTCTATGAATTCTGAATATGTAGGATTCTGACTATACACATACAAAATTTCGTATAAATTTCGTATGTTTGAAGCTAGTATGCTAATATGCTTACGTAATGGGATCATTATTACTAATCCAGATGGTCCAAGAAGAAGTTGATGACATCCTTAGGAAGACATCATCTGGATCCAATGGTAATACAAAATGATGGTTACAATGTAATGACGTTATTGGCTAGTCAATTGGAGAGAGCAGAGTATAGAATTTTTGAAAAATTCAATTACCTTTCTCGCAGTCCGGACAGGTTTCCTCTAATATAAGCGCAGCCAAACCGTCTACTTTGAGCTCAATTATCTCGATTCCTGTGAAAGATACCCAAAATTTGTCAACTGATAAAAGTTTTATCATAACATCAAAAATATTTTATCAGTGGACAAAATATTTTATTCGTCGGCTTAGGTGGACTTCTTTTAGAGGAACCCTCCCCGGACTTCGAGAAAATTATTTAACCAATTTTCCAACAATTTGGACCTCTCTCTCTCTCTCTCTCTCTCTCTCTCTTTCTCTTTTTTTTTATTAATTCCAAAAATGAACCTAGTTGCAAAGCATTTATGATTTAATGATTCTGATTCCCACGAATCCACCACGTAAACCAACATCATCTGAGAAGACGAATCCAGAATAACGAGAAAATGAAAACAAATCTACAATTCATTCCTTTTCTCTCAAATTTATTTGTACAGATTTCAGAATTTTTATCAAAGTTCTTCATTGATTTCTTTCAATGATCTTTGGCAGGCAACATCTTTGAAGTGACACTTTTGGGCGGGGAACTTTGTTCCAGGACTGGCTCGTCTGAAAATAATATTTTGATATACAAATCAGTAATCTTGTTTACTCCACCTCATCTCCCCAGAATGGGTATACCCTTCATCCTTGATCACCCAAAAGTCATCAACTGTCTGTTCGTTCTTGTCAATGGAAACTTGCTCAACTCTAACATGAGTTCTATTGGCAATAGTTACAATTGACCATCCGTAATCATTGTTTCTAGCTGCACTCCAAGGCCATGGCTGATCAGAGAACCAGGCATCTGGGGTATGGCATCCGGCAGATCCACTGATAAGGTATACTGGAGCTTTTGGGTTCACATATGCGTTTCGCTGGAAAGAGGTTTCGTTGGCGATATCAGGGATGTTTCGAACGAAATTCTGAATTCCGAGTATTCCGACCGGAATATTTTCGATGCTTTTTTTGGAATTAGAGATTTTTGGACTACTGTATGTCAGAGGCTCCTGCAAAAAACTACCTCGCGGATATCGAGCGGAATCACATTTAATTTTTTTGGTGATTTCGGAATCAATTCGTCAACCTTTTGCGCTTTCGTGATAGAGCATAGAAAATTTTTAAATTTAAAGTTTGAATGTTGAAAAATTCTGAAGGTTGGGAAATTCCGAACATTTCAAATTCGGAGTTTTCAGCATTCCATTCCACCAAAAGCTGGTAATTTTAAACTCCCTAGGTGAAGTATTGAAAACGAAAACTCACATCGTTCCAATACGTTCTATCTGCCACTGGATAAAATCTCTCGTAGGAGTGTTCGTGTCCCCAGAATCCAAAATCCACCGAGTTTTGTAAAAAGAGAGGTTCCAATCCAGGCATGTCTAACCAACCAGTTCTGACCAATCGATTTTCAAATGATTGACATTCAGCAGAGTTGACGTTACTGCAGTAAAATGGGCGGTGTTGGAATGTGAAGATCCATGGATGGGCGGCACGGTTCGAATTGGCAGCCTGTGGAAATAAAACTTAGCAAATTAGAATCTAATGAGTAAGCCTTACAGTTAAATCCCTTTTCAACCAATCATATTGAGTCATGACGGGATCCATTCCATAGGTGTAGTAGTATCCATAATTTTCCGTACTAACTCCCACCCAATGAACCGGGCCGAGATCGAAACTGTAGAATTGATTATCGTTGTGTCCATTGTCAGGAACTGAGAATCTCTTTTGGTAGTTGGTGAAATTCTGGTAGTCGTCTTCATGATTTCCAGCAATGACCATATAAGGCATCTAAATTTCACAACTACCAACAAAAAAAAAATAAATTTCTCAACTACCAAAAAGTGGTCAACTAACAAAATGTTTCAGATATCATGATAAACATTTTGTCAGTTGAACACTTCTTGATATATTTTACAGAAGCCGAGATATGTGGGCTCAAAGTTGGGTGACCTTCTATGTATTACGCCTTACGGTAACCTACTTTTGAGATGAGTGGTTCAAAAACATTCAAATAACTGTCTCCAACTTGTCCATTATTAGTGTGCAAGTCATAAGCAATATCTCCAAGATGAACAATAAAATCGAAATCTCCTGCTAGCCCATGCTTGATAATACTCTCTGTGGAATTTCCATGCCAGTAACCTAGGTCTCCAAAAACGCAAACTTTGTATGATTGAGGGTTGTTGGAAAGAGTTTTGAAGGAAAATGTGCGAGAAGCAATCGTATACTCTGGAATTCGACAAAGATTTATTCTTTGAAATTCGGTAAAAATACCAACCATATTCTGAAAAATAGTCGAGACCAGTCATCGTTGCTTTGTGTCGATATCGAGTGATTCCACCGTAGATCCAAGCCTCCGAAGATCCTTTCGCAGTCGATGATGCTCCGATACCTATCTTTTTATAATACACATCTTGGGAAGCTGAAAAAAAACAAGAATTTTAGTTTTTTAATAAAAATTTCTTCACCTTCAGCAAACGTATTCCAAACTACAGCCATCTCTGTCATATCCCCGGTAAAAGAGAGATGAACTTGGTCCGGTACTGTTCCTTCTCCAAAGCATTGGTAGAGAAAGCACAAAAAGATAATGGGAAATCTCATCTGGAAAATGATAAAATTCTGAAGGACCTGAAACAAAAATAGAAATGGATAGAACACGATGAGTCCCGTAAAACCTGTAATAGTAGGGATCCGTAGCTTTTAACTTTGAGCCTACATATCTCGGTTCCTGTAGAAGAAATAAAAAAAGTTGTCAACTGACAAAATGTTTATCATAAACTCAAAAATGTTTTGTTAGTTGACACATTTTTGATATCTTGCATGGGAATTTAGATAATTGAGCTCAAACTTTACCGTGTAGAGAACAATACAATTACAGGTTTTACGGTATTTTACACTGTCAAGTATGAGCTCAAATATCTCAATTCCTGTAAAAGATATCACTGACTAAGCACTTCTGATGATATGATGAACAATTTATAAGTTGACAACTTTTTGAAATCTTTCACAGGAACCGAGATATGAAGGCTCAAAGTTGAAAGTTAGAAGGCCCTTCAAATACAGATTTAATGGTATAACAAGCGAGAATGAAGCTTTCAGAAACCTTTTACCACTAGAAGTATGTCATGTAAAACCGGAGGAACAGAAAGTGAAGTGTGATCAATCGGATTATAACAAGGGCAATGTCTTGTTCTATTCCCTATTCGCGGAGCAGCCCTTCGGATTATTTTGATAAGAGAAAATGTAACACTTTTCTGGAAGAGAAAAAGAAGAAGACGAAAGAATTGATTAGTTTATCAAAAGGATATTTCAGATGAAGAGCAACAGTTCATTTTTTCATTGGTGATGGCTGTAGAATGACCGCGATTGCGAAGAGGGATTGGATGAAGAGAAGAACGGCGCCTCCGAAAGCAACGAGGGAAGAAACACTTTGAGAACATCTCTGAAAATTTTTGGAATTGGAGGGGAGACATGAAAATTTTTTTTTCGAAATTCCGTTTCAATAAATATCCCTCGAAGAGCTGAACTGGCGGGTGCGAAAATTAAAGGTGCGGCGCCGCTACCGGCTCAACCACGGTGGCGGAAGGAAACTCACTGATGATTTGTAATGACCATTGTTCTACGAATCCGAATCACATTTGTTGGCTTCGTTCCTGTTTTCTTTTCTCTCGTTGTCCCAACTGTCGTCTCTTCTGTGAAAATTTGTTGGCCCAGATTATTATTTGGTCCATCGGTCAGTAAATCCTCCGGTTTAATGTGCTCTTGTCTGAAACTAATCGCTCAAGAATGAACCTTCACCTAGATTCCAACCTGAGAAGCCTTTCTACGTCGGTGCTGGACATTATGTTTCTATAAAATGCTGACACGACTACACCTGATCAGCAGAATAGAAATCACGCAAATTAATTTATTTATGCCAACAAAAAACCAACAACCTTGATATTTAGATCGTTGTATAGAACAAAAAGAACGGAAAACAGGAGGGATGACAGTCACCAGAGCAAGTCATTGCAAAAAAAAAAAGAAGCATATGAATTAGAATCACCGAATGGAAATAGAGTACTAATCGAAACTAATATAAATTTATTTCTTGGCAATGAGAGCTTCTCCCAGGGCATCCAGAACTTCCTTCTTGTAGTCATCAAAGTCTCCATCAATCTCAGCCACCGTTTGATTCTCCACAATCCATAAATTACAATCAGTTCGCACCACGAGTCGCTCGTCGTGAGTAACCATCAGCACGCCACCGTTGAAGTCACGGATTGCTTCAGCCAAAGCATCAATTGATTCGATATCCAAATTGTTTGTGGGTTCGTCAAGAATGATGATATCTGGACTACCAAGAGCCAAATTACACAGAGCAACTCTTGATTTTTGTCCTCCGGAAAGATCTCGAATTTTGACTATGTGGGCGTGTGCAGCGAGTCCAGTTGTTCCGAGTTGCTTACGAGCCTCTTGATAGTCTATGTTGAATTTGGTACAAAGGAACTCAACAGGTGTTTGTTCGCCATTCAAAGCCTCGTTGGCGTGCTGATCGAACCATCCGATGCGAAGGGTTCGGTGTTTGCGGAGCTCTCCGGATTGCTGATAATTTGGAATATTAATTTTTAATCAATATAAAAAACTCACTGGTTCAATTTTTCCGATTAACAACTTGAGAAGAGTAGACTTTCCAACTCCATTTGGTCCAACAATAGCAATTCTTGAATCCATATCCACTCCGAAATCAATATTCTTGAAGAGAATATCGTTTCCGTAACCGAATGTCACTCCGTACAATCCGAGAACTGGTGGATTCAACTTATCAGTTTCAGGGAACTGGAACTTTACAGAATATTCTTTGCGACGTTGGAGAAGTTCAGCGGATGGTGCATCGTCGTCGTCATTTTGTTTAGCCGCGTTTTTCTTGCCTCCCTTCTTTGCCTTGTTGGCCAATTGCTGTTTCATCTGTTCCTCGGCTTGCTTAGAACTTTTTCCTTCTTTTTCATCGCCTTCAGCTGCTTCTGCTGCTGATCGAAATTCTTTTCATGGACTTGCAAATCTTGGGCGTATTGTTTCTTGAAAAGTGTATAGTTTCCACGGTAAGAATGCAGTTTCTGGTTGTCGAGATGAATGATATCCGTGCAAACGCTGTCCAGGAATCCTTGGTCGTGAGAAACGATGAGAAGAGTCTTCTTCCAAGTTTGCAAATAGCTAAAAATGAGTTCATAAAAATTACTGGCATGAATGAATAACTCACTTGTCAAGCCAAATGACTGCATTGAGATCAAGATGGTTGGTAGGCTCGTCAAGCATCAAGAGTGTTGGCTCAAGGAAAAGAGCTCTGGCTAGAGAAATTCTCATTCTCCAACCTCCAGAAAAATCAGTGCATGGCTTCTCCTGCATAGCCTTTGAGAATCCCAAACCAGCAAGAATTCGTCGTGCTCTTGGTTCGGCACTTTCTGCTCCGATATCTCTCAACTCTTCGGAAACTTCTTGCAATCGTTCAGCGGCTTCAGTTAGACCTTGCTCAATTTGTTCCATAAGCTTCGCTTCCTCTTCTAAAAGTGACAAACGTTTCTTGTCAGATTTCACAACAGTGTCGATGGCAGAGGTGCTGTCTACTTGAATTTCTTGTTCACAATACAAAAGATCAATGTGAGATGGAATAGCAAGTCTCCGAGCACCAATGTGTTTCAATAGAGTTGTCTTTCCCATTCTGAAAACGGTCGAGAATAAAGCTATTAACATAAATTTCATTAGTCTTACCCATTAGGTCCAACTAATCCGTATCTTCGTCCATAGACAATTGTCAAGTTAGCCTTATCAAAAAGGAGTTTTCCTTGAGCAGCAATATCGAAATTCTCGAGCTTGATATCCATACTATTCTCCATTTGAGTCAATTGTGTTGCAGTTTTAGATGTTTGAGAGACAGTGAAGTGAGCACCAAGCTCTGCACCAGAACCGATTCCTCCATGTTCATCCTGGTTTCCTTCAACAACTGGAAGATTATCAACGACACCTCCCATCGACAGGATAGTTTTGTCATAATTCTCTTTGGCTTTCGCCTTTTTGGCTTCTCTGGAAACAATTCGATAAATACTTTGAGATAAATTCGAAACAACTCACTTTCGTGTCACTTTTTTACCTTCGTCAGACATCGTGTGTTCCAAGTGTCTGAAATAGAAGACTCTTTATATTAGGTGGAAGAAATGTTTTCAAAACAGGTTGAAATTACGACAAATTTCGCAAAATATCACAGTGGAACATTGCTATGTGTAAAATTAGATGTTAAAACATATTAGATTCTAAAAGAAAGCCTTTGAAAAACATAAATATTCACCACACCAAAATAAATAATTCTGAAAATAGGTAAAATGAAAAATCGTGTTTTATGAAAAAAAGTACGATGTGCGATGTTGTGCAAACACCACCACGACAAGTTGCAGATTTTCTGTTTATCAGGAGCAGCTTTTTATTGAAACCGCTTCCAGCTTTAAAGACCTGAAAATAGACCTTGGAGTAGTAATTCAGGACAAAATGAACGAAAAAGTCAAAGTGTGTTATGTGGGTGCTCATGAAATTGAAATATAAAATGTGTGCTCTTATTTATTTGGGACTACAAAAACGTGTTTCCAGATAAATATGTTGAAGATGAAGTTCAATTCCTCTATAATTTTGCGGTTTTCAATAACTGGATCATCAAAGGTCTTGCAACAACCGCATTTTCTTAACCTCATTGTTCAACTAAACTTTCTGAATGTTCTGAATGGTAAAAATAATTTCAAATTATGATTTAGGATGGTTGAGAATTTTTACATATAAATGAGAACAAAACAATCTGTCACAAAAAAAACAACAAGAAGTAACTTTATTCGAATAAATTTGTTTCGACCATTTTTCCCTGGACAAGAAAATTATTAGGATGAGCACGGTCTCGTCAGCAGGGAACTCATCCGTAAGAAAAGAAGCATAAATGAAAGTTTGATTTATTTTTCGAATAATAGAATGACACATTTCAATGAAGGCTATCATCTGAAGAATATAATAATATACGAGCACCAATGTGTTTCAATAGAGTTGTCTTTCTCATTCTGAAAACGGTCGAGAATGAAGCTATTAACATAAATTTCATTATTCTTACCCATTAGGTCCAACTAATCCGTATCTCCGTCCATAGACAATTGTCAAGTTAGCCTTATCAAAAAGGAGTTTTCCTTGAGCAGCAATATCGAAATTCTCGAGCTTGATATCCATACTATTCTCCATTTGAGTCAATTGTGTTGCAGTTTTAGATGTTTGAGAGACAGTGAAGTGAGCACCAAGCTCTGCACCAGAACCGATTCCTCCATGTTCATCCTGGTTTCCTTCAACAACTGGAAGATTATCAACGACACCTCCCATCGACAGGATAGTTTTGTCATAATTCTCTTTGGCTTTCACCTTTTTGGCTTCACTGGAAACAAATCGATGAATACATTGGGATAAATCGAAGCAACTCAGCTTCGTGTCACTTTTTTATTTTCGTCAGACATCTTCGAAGTGTCTGAAATAGAATGCACTATATATCAGATTTAGAAGATAACGAGTAAAATAAAATTCAATGCACAAAAATCAATAAAATTAATATTTCCGAAAATCAGAGACCGTACCGGTATGATCTTCAAAATCAATATATTTATTTTTTTTCGGTACTTATTTTTAAAACGGAAAATCGTGTTTTATTACAAAAGTACGGTGCGCGGTGCTGTGCAATCACCACTACGACAAGCTGAAGATTTTCTGTTTGAATTTTCGATTTTTATGGGTTCCCGCATTTTAAAATCTCACGATTTTTTCCGTTTCTGTTTTGAATTTTTACCTAATTTATTGTCGGAATTATAAAACATTTCACCTCCGTGTTTGCTGAAACATTCCAAGTCGCAGTATTTTTTCTACTGAGTTTGCAACAGGAGGTGATAGTTTTTTCATTCCATCTAAATAAATCGAAAGAACATAGAATTTAGTAGTTTTTGTTTTCGATTATCAATCTCAGCTTTTTATTGGCTGCTTCGTCAGCAATTCGTTTTTCTTCAATCAATACGATCATAAGTATGCTTCTATTTTCAGGATGTCGGAAACACCTCCTGAACAGTCGCCACAGCGCATGTCGACTCGAAATCAAGCTCGAGTCAACTACACGGATATGGCATCTGGAAATACCTCTAGGTAGTATATAAATTTTTATAGCTGCGTATATTAATATTTTTCAGTGAAAAAGAACCAGTGTTCCGCTCACCAACTGCTAGTACTCGAGGACGGAAGAAGCGCCCCGCTAATGATGTATCAGATCTTTCTACAAGCTTTGGAAATCTTAGCAGCTTCAACACTCCACCAAAGCGAGGGCGACCTCGTGGAGCAGCGCTAGGAAGTGCTCGCGGTGGTCGAGCTCCGATGGTTCGCAGAGTCACCACCGACGAGCCATCAGATGTTGAAGAGCGCGAGCTTGTTGCTGCTGTGAAGTCAGGAAAGAAGATTCAAGAAGCCGTTGATAAATGGATTGCTAGATATAATGAGAAATTCCTAGTGGCTACTGCAGAAATGCATCAATTTTTCTTTGCGATTTGTGGATGTAAAGGAACAATCACTCCACAAATGTCTGCTACACTCTCATACAAGTTTGTTTACATTTACCTCAAATACCTAATTTATCTTATTTTCAGAGATATCATTTGTCAGATGACAGAAGATTTCGAAGAAGACTCTGCAGATTATCCAATTGTTCATGGAGGAAGCTTGAAAAAAGTTCGAGCCAATTTACACACTTTCCTTCATTGTCTAATCGGTCAAACGAAATCTTTTATGCTTTTCGATAGCAGTCTTATGGACGGATTTGTTCAACTTCTCACCGGAATGGCTGACAGTCAAGTCAGAGCGTTCCGTCACACGGCAACATTCTGCGCAATGAAAATCTCGTCCGCTCTTGTCGATGTGACGATTGAATTAACGCAATCCAAAGACAAAACATCAAGACAAATTGAAGCGGAAAAGGCTAAACTGAAGAATAACTCTGCTGGAAACGAGAAGTACGAGGCTCTAATCGCACAAAGAACTCAAACGGAAGAACGTGCCGAGGAAATCCGTCAAATCATTGGATACCTATTCAGAAGTGTTTTTGTTCATCGTTATCGTGACGTCGTCCCGGATATTCGCTGCATCTGTATTCAAGAACTTGGTCACTGGATGGATGTCTATCCTGAACATTTCGTTGATGATTCCTACCTGAAATACATTGGTTGGTCACTATTCGACAAAGTAGGAGATGTCAGACATCGATGCATTAGTGCACTCATTCCATTGTTCGACAAACCATCGATTCTTGACAAGTTGGAGCTTTTTGTCAATAAATTCAAAGAACGACTCGTCTCGATGCTTCTTGACAAAGATCTCGATACAAGTATCGAAACCGTTCAACTTATGAGAGTTCTCTATACTCATTTCCCAACACTTCTAACCATGAAGGACACTGTACCTTTGTATGAGTTGATTTATGCCTCCAATCGACAACTAGCTGTTGCTGCAGCAATGTTTCTCAACACCAAGGTCTTCTGCAATCCAGACAAACCAACAAAGATGCCCATCGCAAAAAACGCGCCATTGATAAAGGATCTTGTCACATTCTATATTGAGGGAGATCTCCATCAGCACGGAACATACTTGATCGACGCATTCTTCGACACTAATCCTATGGTTAAAGATTGGGCTACAATGTGTGATTTGCTGCTAAATGATCAGTACCAACGTAAGTGGACAATGCCGTTTAAGAATTTAATTATTGTTCATTTCAGTTGATCCTAAATACGAGTCTGTCGTTATCGAGTTCCTGGCATGTTCTGTGACACAGTCTGCAACAGGAGAACCACCAGTTGGCCGTCAGATTATTAAGAAAGGGGCTCCATCAGCCAAAGAAGCTCGTGATTTGATCGAAGATCGGGCTCGCTTCACTGAAATTTTGATTCCACTTGTTCCACGTCTTCTCACCAAGTTCAGTTCTGACATTGAGAAAGTTATCAATTTGGTCAATATTCCTATGCACTTCCAGTTGGATATGTATTTATCGGCTAGAATGCAAACGGTAAGACGGATATTTTGGAAACCTTTCAAAATTTTACTATTCCAGCATTTAACTGAACTTGTGTCGGCGTTGGATTCGTTGGTTGAGAAGCATATAGATGAAGAACTTCTCAAAGCAGTTGCTGAACTTTATTATCACTTATCAAACTACTCTCCGATCTCTGTACAAGTGGAAAACCATAAAATGAAGCTTCTGGACGGAGTCGCCGCTTACATTAGAAAAGCGGTGCAACAAATGGACGAAGATCAGATGGGCGAAGAAGAGGAAGCTCTCTTCGTGTCTTACATAAAGAGAATGGCGGCTTTCGCTGGTTTCATGGACCTCCGTCATTGGGATCTTTGGGATATACTTGTTAAAATCATGGGAAACTATAATCGCGAGGACACCCAGAGAGACGTTCGCGAAAGATCCATGCAAATGCTATTCGTTCAACTAACCTTCGACCTTGGAAACCTCACAAAAGAAGGAGAAACGCCGAAGGCCGATCAAGTTCGAAAACTCAAAAAGCGACGAGACCAGTTGATTCGCATTCTGAAGAAAACTTTGGCTGAAGACGCCAGTGGAGTTGAACAGGCGTATCTTGCTATTTGTGATATGATGATTATGTTTGGAAGTCCGTTGGCTGCTGATTGCAAGGCTATGGAACCGCTCGTTTGGAGGCCAGATTTTGAATTTCTCGCCGATGTGAAAATCTTTTTGAAAACCAATGCGTTCGAAGATCCCAACATGGATGATATGGATCAGCAGAAAAAGATCGAAATTATGCACAAAATGCGTCAGCTGGTTGCTCAATACGCCAAACTGATCATCCACGGTGCGATGCCGATAGCGGAAGCGTCCGAGCTCATCAAAAGATACCACTCCCACTATCAGGATTTCGGAGATATTTTCAAAAATTTATTATCAAAGTGCCGAGAAATTTCGTTCGTTGATACTGGTGTAATGATTGGCGATGCTCTTCAAACGCTCTATACAGAAATGGATCGAGCACAAAAGATGGATCCGGTTTGCGAACAATTCAACAGTCTTCGTGATCTTGCCAGACGACTGACACCTGCATTAGGATCGGATTGTTCCAAGAACCGATATGCCGTGACATCGCTGCACAAGAATGCTATCGATTTTGCCTTCCAGGAGTACAAAGGAGATGCTATGCCTCCGAACATGCACTTCCTTGAAATCGCAATTGAATTCAGCGGAAAACTGTTGGCTCAAGATAAAACTGCTGTGTAAGTCAATTAGTTCAGTATCGACTTCTGGTGTAAATGTACTCATCATCAATTTTTATTCATTTCCAGTAGCCGCTATCTCCAAAAAGTCTACTTGGCCAAAATCGGAACTGTTGAGCATGTGTGGGAGCCGTACCGTCTCTACAATGCCTCACTCAAGGAGCGTCCTGATGACGACAACATGTCGGTTCGCAGTGGAATGACCGTTGCTTCGAGCGCGACAATGCGCAGTACAGCTTCGGCGGCTCGCGGAAGAGGACGTGGACGTCGTGCCAGAGCAGTGGACGACTTTTAATCATCAAGTTGCTTTAATCTGTAATATTCCCAGTCTATTCAACATCTATTGTCCCTTTCCTCTCTGTTTCTACCGTAATATTCTCACAACTTGTTGATAACAACAGTTGCTTCTTCCCCCTACTCCTCATGATCTCCAGAAATTCTGCTATTTATGCCCCCTCACTTCAACGATATCCGTTCCGTCTCATTGTTGTCAATTTTTAAATAGAATAATACTGTGAATGTCATTTGTAATTATGTTATGTTCTAGATGCTCCTAGAGTTCAATAGATCTAGGTTAGGCTATTCTTCTTGAGCTTGCGATCTTTAGAAATTTTTATTTTGTCATCATTAGGAAACTAATCTCTCCAAAGATGAAAAAACGGGAGAATAATCGCTATGAAAAGGATGAGATAGATTCATTTAGGCGGCGTTTCCACTTCCTTCAACTTATTGTCTTTGAATTGAGCGAAAGATAATAATGACAAAATTGAGATAAGCTAGATTCATTCTATGAGAGTCGATCACACGGCAAGATTTTCGAAAGCTTGGTCATCGAGAAGATATAACTTTTAGCTTTGACCTAGTTTATCTAGGCTCTTTTAAAAGATATCAAAATGTTGTCAACGGATAAACTGTTTGTCGATAAAAAGATATAAAAAAATTTCAATAGCAAAAATGTTTGTTTATTTGTCAGCATCATTTCATTAGTTAACACTTTCTGATAGCTCAACCGAGATAATTCGTGTCAAAGGGATTGTCTTTTAAAGGAGTTACACAGATTTCAAAAGAAAATACTGTCTATTCAATAAAACGTGGGTGAAATGATGCGGCAGCAGGAGAAAATTCTGGAAATGATGATTCAGGATGCGCAAGCCATCATAGGAATGCACTTTGAAGATCCTATAGCGAGGCCTTATAAGTAAGTCTGAAGCAAATTGTTTTGAATGTTTCTGAATTTTTCAGTTATATACGCAAGGATGACATACGGAGCACAGCAGATGCAAACTCTAAATCCATCATCATCAAGTCAGATAATGATGTAGACAATCATTTTGAAGTCCAAGTCACGGATCCAGCTGCAAGTGGTTGCTATGATATGATAGTCAAGAATAAAAGTGGAGTGAAATCTCATGCTCTATTGTTTAACAATGAACAGCCGCGGGGAATGGATGATGAAGAGAAACAGAAAAAGAACAGTTACTGTCACAAGATCATGATTTAT